AGGGAGCAGGAATTCGAGGGTTGGAGGTCTAAGGAAGGCAGGATTGGGAGAGGCTCATGTGTAGTTTTAGCGCTCCGGGACGCTACCACACATGAAGGGCGCTATATAACTGCAAGTTGTTCTTGTTGTAGTGTGAACAGCAATGAGAACTAGTTGGGCTGAAATGCCTGTTGTGGTTCTGAAAATTCGATGTAACATGGACTTGGCAGGATACCAGGAGGGGAGATGAAAACAGTCTCTGAGGCACTCGAAAGTAAATCGAAACAATGGGCTGAGCTGATGTGTTAAATATCTGAAACTGATACACCATATGTGTAGAATTTACAGTCTTGCCTTTCCAATTTTATTATCCTCAAAATAGTCCAGCGATAAAGCCCCACAGCGTTGCCTTTCCTGTCTCTTATTCACACGGACAAGCAAGTCACCCAACAGCCCCTTCGGGGGCTTTAACTCTGAAAAGGTGGACCTCAGAAAGCCAAATGTAGCAGCTAAGGTGGGAAATGAACGCTCTGGGGATTCGATGCCTCATTTTAAACCAATTAAATGTAAACCTGTTTAGTCAATTTGTAAACAAAATAGAGGTAATTTCCCCCCTCCCCCTCTCCCTCCCCCAGCTGCCCCTATCCCTGCCCAAAGCCCGAGGTAGATTTTAATTTTCGCTCGCATGAAAATCAAGGAAGAATGTTTCACAGGGCACTCAGTGGAATGTGGTAAATGGATCGGGGAAATGGTTGAGGCAGCAAGTGAGAAGCCAGTGGAATTTGCTGCTTCAAAGTCCGGCTGACTTATTCGAGCTCTGCTAAGGAGTTTAATTTCTTCTGGGGTTAAACTTCTTCTCCAGTAAAGCACGTTCCAGTGAATAACTTCTTAATAATAATAATCCTTGCATTTGATAAAGCACCTCACATTGCCGAGGCATCTTAAAACTCTCAACAGGATACACCGCAAAGTGGAGTGACTGTGTATTTTGACAGCTGAGAGACACTTCCAGGGCACATTTTTATTGGTCAGTTTAGCATATGGGGACATGCCTGTGGTAACAACACTCTTTCCAATGTTTTATTAATTGTAACCAGAAATAATGGTCTACAGTGCAACAATGCTGATTTCTGACTCATCAAATTACACATTATGGGGTCATGTATAAAAAAGGCTGCTTTTGGATTCATAGACCATGTAAATCTTTAATTGTTCTTCTCAGTGTATCTGAAATTGATTAGTGTGAGGTGCGACACAGATAAACTCAATGCAACATGTTGTACTCGTAAGCAACGTATACAATGTGTCACAGATTAAGCTGATTTGCACTTAAATAGTGCTGTAATGAAGGTGTACGTAAACATTTACATTCTAGAGGAAACTAGAGAACCAAGCTTTATCGTGCCATCAGGAAGTTACCTTTCTGTCAAAATTATCTTTCCTGTTACTGAACCACAACATGAAATCCAGAGACAAGTTGCTTCTGCATTACATCCCAGTAAGTTGGAGGCGCTGATAAAATGCAGCACAAAATCTCCTTGAAAAGCCCAGCGAAACCGCTACACAGTTAGAACACAAATTCTTCACTCAGGCCGTTTTAATCGCTATGAAGTAGTTTGATTAAAATCGTCCTTCTATTTGTTTTAAAAAAACACACCTCATGTAAAAACTTCTCCAACTCGATTTCAAATTCTGTTGAGGTTTGCTGCCACCTCCTGGAAAGAACAACCACTTTAGCTGAGGATCAGTCACCGAAACTTGGGAGTCAAACTTGACAAACCGCAAATCACAATAGTGCGACATTTAATTTTGCCCTTAAATTCTTGTGTTTTGGTAAACTGGCAACTGATACAGACATACTTCTGTTTGGAGTGAGTTCAGGTTAAACATAAAAGTTTGCTCGTGTTAAGAGATATTTAGCTGACCTCAGAAGCCACCTTTTTATGTGATCAGCTGATCTCAAGGCCGCTCTGGAGCAACATTTTGAAATACACATGAGCCAAAGCAGAGCAAACCTGTGGTATTGACAGCTAGACTTGAGCAAAGGTGACCTTGTGTCATTGTAAGTAACTGATTGCAGGTACGAGGCTAATGTTAAGTTTAAAAAGCTTCAGGTGTCCTCTTATGCTGCCTTTATAGTTTCGAAATCATGACCCCATCAAGCGGTCTCTATCATAATAATAATCCAATAAGCCAATTGCACACAGCAGTGACCCAGAATCGTGGATTGAAGTGATCAATTTACTATTATTATTTTTGGAAGGAATTATTTTGAAAGATTTCATTGGCAGTCAAAGGCTTTCATTGCTTTTAAGGCCCTCTTCCAAAATCTCTTTGCCTTGCTCTCGCTCATTGTCTTCCCAAATCTCTGCAGACAGATCCCTCCAGTGAGAAGTGTATTTTCGCTGTTTAGGAGAGACCATGTATTCCTGGCACATCCCTCCTGGCACATGCACTTTAAAAAGTCTTCAAGCTGCTTCCTTCATGTATTGAAGATCATTAACATTTACTTCCCCTGAATCTCTATTTGGGCTTCATTACTTTGAATGCCACAATTTGTTATCAAGGGAGACTCTTCCAAAACGTCTGCAGAAATAGACCCGCATACCCATATTGTTTTCATTACCATTGCTCAAATGGACTGTTGGGAGATGTATTTACCGCCCACCTTTGAGAGCTGTTTAGTTCACACTTGAGCCTTGGAACGTCTTCCTAGAGTGAAAAGAGCTATACAAGTGTAATCTGTTGTTGTTGTTGAGCTATCATTGCAGCTGAGCTTTTAAATTGGCAGATTATCTGAAAATATAATAGATTCCAGAGACTTTGCAGTGGCATTAAAGACTGCTCCCAAGTGCAGATTGAATTTCCATTTGCTTATTTATGACAGCAAATAAAATCCTCCTCAGTCTTAACATTGGAAAGAGGTGGCACACGGCATTAGTTGACTAACGAATAGCTGCGTGCCCGTGTTCTGCTATTGATTGCTTACGTATTTTCATTGCTTGTATACTACCAGCTATGTGAAAGCACTTTAAAACATCTTCCTAAGGTGAAAGGCACTATATAAATGTAAATTGCTGCAATTGATGTTGTACCTGTTGCAATAAAAATATATATTGTTAACATGCAAGTTCAAAAGCCCAGTAAATTTGTCTGGGGTAGGGGGGATTCCACAATCCTCAACCCTCAATGAAACATGAGCCACTGGCGGGCTCCTGAGTTATCCTTTGTCTTAAGTGAATGTAAAAAAAAACATTGCAACAAAGTTCACTTAAGGATGCGCATTGATTTTTTTTGAGAGTTAAGCCTGATCTGGATTAGACCTTAATGAAAAAGAATCTGAAAACGGAGATTATTGCAATGTGTACTGGAATGTATTTTCCCTATAGATCTAAACTGGTTTAAATAATGGAGGAATTTACTCTCATGACGATTGTATTTAAACTAATGTTTTAACTTACATGTAATTAATTCCCCTTGAGCATTGCCATCTGTCTGCAAAATTATCATTTCCCTGCAAGTTTCCAATGAGAAATATTACAAAGATGAACTACACATTTGCAGAACCTAAAAGACTTCTTAATTCATAACAATTGAGTAATGGAGGTTTTCATTGTGGACACATTAATTTTCACTCTTCACAGAAGGAAGTGGGGAAGAATTTCCAGACGGATGTTTAAACATTAAAGAATGTAAAAAATACAGTAAATTGTGTGTTTGGCAAGAGACCATTCATAAGCAAACATCCCACCTTCACCAAACATAAATAAATGCTGGATTCTAGCAATAAAAAAGAACTTGAAGATAAACGCAGCAAGTAACTCATAACCAATTGCACTGAACTTTTATGTATATATATATTTTATGTAATATATATATTGCTATATCAAATGCAAGGATTATCATAAGGAAAATGTGCATTTCTTTTATAATCTGTGCAACCATCAAAATTGACTTCTTCTTAAGGTACCCATTGATTCATAATTCTTTTTGAAATTGCTGTTGAGAAAAAATGCTACGTTTGCAGAGAGATGCCATGCTGAAGAATGAATACCAGATTTAAAATGTTTTGAAATGTAGCGCGGCGATAATGGAGTATGATCTGGAATTTTAACAAAGAAAAAAAAATCAAAGGTTCAAAGGCTCCGGGTATTCCTTGGTGAAGATAGACAGCGATGGTCTTTGATAACCTGCTAATAAATTACCTTGAAGCTATGTGGGAGCTGCCTACATCGACATCTGGACATCATGCTTAGGCATCTTCACTGACAAAATCCAGAGAGACCCTCTCAAGCAGTCACAACAAATATTCATGGCAGTTTATAACTCAAAAGCTTTGAACTCGTATGTCCTTCCCAACGATGACATTCTGGAGGGGGGAGGTGGTGGGATGGGATTCTTGTTGGGAGGCAGGGTCTTTTCAGCCTAATTCTAATGCTCCCTAAAAGATTAGCTATACCTTATTTACCACATTTGTGTACAGGTTTCAGAATGTTTGCAGGTATTTATCAATTACAGAATACAATATGTACTCATTTACAACAGGAGCGAAGTAAATGGCCTGTATACAACACAAACACACCCGGGAAGTCCCAAATATTCCTTTACAAAAAACACATTCAGACACAGCAGACTAGAACGTGTGTTATAAATGAAAAATATTGCAAGGTCCCAATGCATATTCAAGCACCCTGGGACGTCATCCCGACGTGAAAGGCGCCATATAAATGCAATTTGTTGTTGTTATGATCTTTAAACATAAAACGAGGATGGCAAGTCATAAGCTTTTCATTATTTCCTGAGATCACTCAGAAGTGTAGTTTTCTACAAAGGCTCACTAGCCACCATTTAAATTACAATTGGGTGGTAATGGCTACATCGTTCCGATAGCAGTCACTGCGAGACACTCCCTTTCTAGCTTCTCACACAACTCAGCCACGATGCCCGCAATGGAGAACACATGGTTGAGTAATAATATTGTGACTTACAGAACCAGTTGCTAGAAGTGCCGATCCAAGTTTAAAATTCTTTGGCAAGTTGGTTATCAGTTTATGGGGATTCAACTGCAACAACTAGTTTGAATGACATTTTTCCTAACCAATGTCGAAATGAAAGCTGAAAGGAAGTCAGTGAATAAGGGTGAGAGTATTGAAATATGCTAATCATGGGGCAGGGAACAGCTCTGAAAAAACAGAACCACATAACTGTCACAGTGGATTGATAATCTTTTCATTTAATGAACTGTACCTACAAAGATATTTAAAGGGTTCATAAATATTGCTGCGCACATGGAAAACAGATGTGTTCACTATTTGTTCCTTTCTGGCACTCGAGTTATCCAGAGATTGAGTTCCAGCAAAAATGCTCAACGCATATATTATAAGTTGAGTTAAATATATATATTTTGAATTATTACATTTGAAAGGTTATTACTATTAAGGGTGTATTTAATTAAAACAAAAACGTAGGATACATACTGGGGTTTGGATTCCTCCTGCATCCCTGCCGTGCCGTATTCAACAACTTAGGAAATGTCTCTGTGTAACGGAGTTGTATTTATAACTGAATGTCACAAGATGTATTCTCCTAGATACCTCATAATCAGAGTTGCTTTGTCATTACTCTGATAAATCGGGTCATAGCGGCAAATAATTGAATGATTAATCTTTCAGGCTGTGCTCCAAGTTACCGAGGTGCTGGGCTAAATTGCCAAATCAACTGAGTTCAAATTCCAGAAGTCATGATCAAACTCTGATCAGGCTGTATGTGCAGCTTGGTTGCCACAACATATAAAAAGGCTACTCCAGTTCTAAAACCAGTGTAGAGCGATTAAGATGAATGTAGGGTATATGTTAGAGATATAAACTACAAGCAATAGCTGGATAAGACCGAACTCTTCATCCTTGAAGAAGCGATATTAGATGTACACTAGATTCTAAATAGAGTGAATGAAGTAAACCCAGGGGAAAAAAAACTTGTTTCATCAAAGCAGAAGGACAAGATAGCACAGGTTTTGGGTGGTTTCACCATTCAGTCATTAATAATAATTGCCTTAGCTTTTGTTACTTCATTGTTTAATATTCAAACACAGATCTCTCATATAATTTAAGTTAAAAAATCTCGAGTTCCAGACATAAGCTGTATAAAACTGATCCCTGGTTTCAACAACTGTATTTTTAAACCTTACCCTGTTGGAACATTCAGAGGGAAAAAAAACCTTTCAACAAAATGTGCAGCAGCAGCAAAAAGGAGCTAGCTGAGACCATCTTCCATTTGCATGAAAACATACTTAATACCTTTTACCACATGTTTTGAATAGTAGTTCATGCTGATGAATCCATTTGAGTTACATGATCAGTCACCTCTTACAAAAAGAAATGCATTTAACACACAATTCAATGAAAACAATAAAAAAAAGAAAAATGAACAACAGCTGCTCTAAAGTGGTGCAATATGAAAACCTTGATCAAATCAATTGGAATAACTGCTGCTAAAACAGCTATTGCATAGATAGGTTCATCTGGTACAAAGGTAAACATGTTTTCCAAGTTGATGTCTTATTATGGCAAATAAGTTGTCAATTTCTCCCCAAGTGGATGGACAAATCTCAAATCAATCTTCCTCTGAAGAACTGCTGTCTCCCTGATCTCTGTATTCTCGAAATGTTACAGCAGATTTGCCTTCTAGGTTAAAGCTCACTGCTTTGACTCCTACTTTTTCTGCCAGTTTCTCTGCTGCCAGTTTGGCTTGTAATGCCTGCAAAAGAGAAGTTGTGTTTAGGTTGATTTTATAATGATTTTATAAATAGTTATTGGACAATTTAGAGTATTGTGTTCAGTTTTGGTCATCCCACTTTAGGAAGGTTGTCGGGGCACAGAGAAGATTTACTGGGATGATACCAAAGATGAGTGTTTTGATCTATCTAGAATACAGAAAAGTCGAGGGAAATCCAAGAGAGGGGTTTAAAATTAAGAGGGGTGTTTATGACAGTGGATGGGGAGAAATTATTTCCACTAGTCAGTGGTAAGATAATTCCCAAAGGAGCAAAAGAGATTAGGAAATTTGTTTTTGTACAGAAGGATGTGGAATGAATGCCTCACACAAATGGCCACAAATTGGCAGGTAAACCACAGTGAAGCCTGTGAAGGTGGAGTCCTGTAGCTCAGTGGTTAGAGCACTCGCTTTGCAAGTGAGAGACCTGAGTTCAATTCCAGGCAGGGCGAAACCTTGGGCAAGTTTCCGTACTCCACACAGAGTCTAATAATAATCCCTCCAAAACCAAAAACAATAATAAATTGGTCATTTTCAATCCACGACTGTTTGTGGGACATTGCTGTGCGCAATTGGCTGCCGCGTCCGTCCACAAATATACAGTCAATTCACTTTACAGTGTGTTCTGTGAAGCGCTTTGGGATGTCCTTCCGACGTGAAAAGCGCTATATTAAATGCAAGGATTATTATTATTATTATCAATATGGCCGCACATTGCAACAGAGATTACAGGTGCAGAACTTTCAATTATGGGTTTCCCTCCTCCCCAGCCCAAATGCACTGAGGTCAATTATGTTGCTCATCTATTACCCTGGCTAAGATAAACTAACAGCAAAGACTGGGAATCGAACGTGCAAAATTTATTAAGTCTGTATTGCTTAATCCTCGGTGGCGTCTCTGTCTATTTGATCACTTGAGTAAGTTTCAAACATGGAACCTTAGGGACCGAACAATGTATAACCAGAACAATACCTTGTTTTACCAAGCCGCTCAGCCCAATTTTAACAGTCTCAGGGTCATGGTGTCATGCACTGAATTAGCTGTTAATATCAGCGCAGGGATATGATATGAAACCATGCATTCATCACAGACCCCTGAACTGGAATCAATTTATTCCAAAATGCTAACAGATTCAGTTCATGCACAGGAAGCTTAAATGATTCATTATTCCTGGCACTGGTTCCTATAGATCTGTAATTTTTTTTGGAGATAAAACAAAGTGTAAAGCCAGTGGTAGATTTATCCAACGAGTGGTTGAACCATGCAGAAAGGCAGAAAAGAAAGTTTTGCAAGTTCAAATTCCAAGTTAGCAGATATCAGCGGTGACAGGAGTACAGATGCTACAACTATCATCCATACCCTTAAGATGGGTGAAAAAACATTGTCGTTTGATCACTCATACCTCATAGATTTTTTGTTGTGATATTTGCAGTTCTCTCGATTCCTCCAAGGACAACAACTGAGCTGAAGAATAGTGAAGTGGAGGCAGCCGAGCAGCTGTGATATAATCAAGGTGTTTCTGATCTCTTAGCCTTCGCTCGGATGGAGAGAGATTTGACTCGGGTCTTCCAGGTGACTGGCTTGGAGATGAGCCAGGTGATTCAGATAGCCTGAGGTAAAAGTAGTAGACACACATGTAGAATATTGAAGGCCCATTAGCACAATCTTCACTTCTCTCACAGTATAATGGGTATGCTCCAGTTCACTAAAGTCAATTTCTTTGTCTTTTGCAAATCTAATAAACTTCTTACTGTGGCTCCACTCAATCCTTCCTCATCTATCCATAATTTATCTCTATGTCTATTCAAATAGGTTTCTTATCACTTCCTGCATAGGTAATTCATTTCTAAGAGAACTAAAATATTTGCCTTCTGAATAAGATAATGAAACCCAAGTTTGGTTAAAACAAATATAGTTGCACACTTGAGGAAGCTCTGTGCCTTGCACTCCTAGATTACTAGAAAATATGACTGTTCCTTCACTCTCGGCTTTATCCTTTTTTCTCCCTTATCATCGTATTTTTTTTAAACTTTCTAAATATATCCTACACAGTCTTCCTCCTTCACCACATTTGATCCATCAAAATCCACTGTAACTGATTCTTCCACAAGCCTGTGGAACTCATTACCTCGCTCTATCCTACAACATAGACTATAAATCTTAAATTTCCTCTCGACTTCTCTCACTTTATTGAATATGGTTCTTCATCTTAGTTGGCAATAAAAAGATACTAACTGAGTCTTATGAATGTAAACAGGGCTCAAAAGGCCGAAAATTCAGCTAGCACATAACTATATTCAATCACATGTAATAGTGACTTTGAACTACTGTCTGATACTTACCGATTAGGTTTAAAGGGTGATCGTTTAGCCACTGGGTTCTTGGCTCTTTCCTCCAGTACATTGATATAGTGAGGATTTATTTTTGATTGGTTATGCAGAGTTTTGAAGGGATTGTCTTCTAACATTGAATCACCGCTTACAGCTGGTTCCTTGTGTATTTTTGAATCAAAGCTCTCTAGCTCAGTATCTGAGAGAGTGACCCTGCCAAGTTTATCACTAAGCAAGTCATCAGACTTGCTGGTCAGAATCACTTCTGGATCATCCGCTTTACTGTTCTGCAAGGTCTCATAGGTTTGATCCTGCTTTGTACCTGCATGTTGATTATCCACCACAGGATGGATGGAGTTCTCAGCTTTTGAAGTACTCTTTGGTACAGAGATCCCTGAACAATTTGCTTGTTCTTCTTTTGTTTCAGAGCTCAGTTCTCTATCCTGGAAGCTGCATTGTGAGCTTTCTCCTTCATCACAATAAATCATTGACAAAACCGGCTGATCCTCTATGGGTTCATCAGAAACCTCACATTGTTTTCCAATGTCTTTTCCTTTTGTTGGAATTGAAGCTGCATTGTTTTGAAACTCAAAAATAACATTCTTATTACTGAGAACATCTTCCCTGTCAGAGCTTCTCTCCTCACTTCTCTTCTGGAACTCCACTTTAACTGCTGAAAGCAGCTCTCGTTTTCTCTCTAGTTCTTCATGACGAGCAATTAAGGACTCCAATTTTTCTGCCGATTCAATGATTCGTTTACCCTTGTCTGGAAGAGTCTGGATTAATGACCTGAACAAACAAAAGTAAAACGCAATAGTGTCATGTTACGGAGAGTTACTCCTAATCAAATTAGATTCTAAAGGATTATAAAGAATCAACAATTTAATTTGGACATTCTAATATTTGAATTCCTTGACTCTTCTTCAGTTCACTTGGACTCAAGGTTAGAATCCAGAACAATAATTTCTTTCAATACCTCTCAAAGGTTTAAACACTTTAAAAGTCCTCTCAAAGTCCGCTGTATATACTACTTATACAGTGAGCAAAAGGCGAAATACTACAGACGCTGGAAATCCGAAATAGAAACAGAAGTCGTTGGGAACACTCAGCAGGTCAGGCAGCATCTATAGAGAGAGGGAAACGAATTAACTTTTCAGGGCTATGACCTTTCGTCAGGAGGTAACCATAAGCGTGGTCGAAGAGGAAGCTTTTCAGTTATGGTTGAAGAGAGGGGAAAAAGAGGGGCAAGGCGGAGGGATGGGGGGGCAAGGCGGAGGGATGGGGGGTAAAGGCGGAGGGATGGGGGGTAAAGGCGGAGGGATGGGGGGGTAAAGGCGGAGGGATGGGGGGGTAAAGGCGGAGGGATGGGGGGTAAAGGCGGAGGGATGGGGGGGTAAAGGCGGAGGGATGGGGGGGTAAAGGCGGAGGGATGGGGGGGGGGGGGGGGGTAAAGGCGGAGGGATGGGGGGTAAAGGCGGAGGGATGGGGGGTAAAGGCGGAGGGATGGGGGGGTAAAGGCGGAGGGATGGGGGGGTAAAGGCGGAGGGATGGGGGGTAAAGGCGGAGGGATGGGGGGGTAAAGGCGGAGGGATGGGGGGGTGGGAAAGAGAGAGTTCGAAAGCTTCGGGACGCAGTGGCTGAAAGATCACAGTCCTGAAACGTTAACTCGCTTTCCTCTCCCCATCGATGCTGCCTGACCTGCCGCGACTTCTGGAGTGAGCGTATAGTGTAACGTCAGACACAGGTGGGGGGGGGGGGGAGTTGTGAAGGCGGGAACGAGCAGAGGAGCCCGGCCCCGGCCTTCGCCGACCTACTTATTCTCCAGAAGTTTGTTCTGGCGCCGCAGAAGCTCCAGCAGCTCGGCCTTGTCTTTCCTGTGCAGGTCTCCGAGGAAGCCCTGCCGCTCCGAGGACATGGTCTCCCGGGTGAGAGCCGCACGAAGCCGCCGACGGGACGGTCAGCGCGGGCCGAGCGGGGAGCTGGGCGCCGCCATGACACCGGAAGCTGCGTGTTGAAACATCCGCCACTGTACTGTTGCGTCACTGCGGCTCCGCGCAGGCGCACTCCTCCAGCCCCAGACCAGCCCCTCCCCCCCCCTCAGGCTGTCAGTCACAGCTCCATCAGTACCACCTTTCATCCTTAGCTTTCACTATGTTATTTATGTTTATATATATATATATCAACATATATAACATGGCTTATTTATTTCTATATATATATATGTGTACATCTCAACACGGTTAATTAAGATATATCATGATTTATACACATATATATATATAAATCAACATGGTTATATATATAATATAATATATATAATATATATATTATTATTATTATATATAGATATATGTATCATAATTATAATGATTTCTATCCGTTTCGAGATCCTCTCACTCGTCTACAAACCCCCCCTCAGGCCGCTGGCGACCCCCGAACCTTTCTGCCCTCCTCTCTCTCTCTCTCTCTCTCTCTGTCTGTGCGCTCCGCTTCCCGCTTCCCTTCGCTCGTTCGGCCGGCCCTGGCTTCTTGCTCGTCCCCGGTCCCACCTGCTCGGGCATTGGCAGCCGCGCTTTCAGCCGCTAGGCCCCGGAGCTTTGGAACTCGCTTCCCCGAATTCCTCCGCCTTGCTCCCTCCTTCCCCTCTTAAGTCACAACCGACGAGCTTCCTCTTCGACCATCCTTACGGTTACCTTCTCCCCTGCGGGATGTTAGTGCCCGCGTATTTCAATAGACGGACAGCAGCAGCCGGTTTGCGCGCGCCACCGTCTTACAAACTGGAAAACCCGGGAATTAATAGAGTTATTCAGCCCCTACTTGGTGCTATAAATCGAGTATTTGTTCCCTTGTTGAAAACATTATTCATATTTGATCAACATCAGGCTTGTGTGCCTGGCTATGTTTCACCACAATGCACCGAACACAACTGAACAGTAAACTCAAATATCAAGCTTTGGGAAAAGGCAAGACTGTCGCTCATTTGCTTGACTTGGTCACAGCTTTTGATGTCAAAGCAAGAACTCCCTGGGAAGCCAATGAATGTAAAACAGTGTGTGTTTTCATAGCTTACAATAAGTCAGAGTCTGCCACACCTGAAATGTGCAAGAGAGACGCAAAAGGGGTGAAGTCTGCGATTGATGTATTTCAATCAAGACTTGCAGACTTCAGAGAGCAGCTCACTCTGTCTCCTACACCTTCCACAGTTGATCCTGACAGTGTCGAAGATTTCTTGACATTGGAATTGATTGAACTTTAAAACAGTTCTATTCTGAAGGAATAGATGCAGCGTTACAACGTGATAGCCTTCTGCTGATTGCTGCCTGCTGAGAATCTCATGCTTAACACATGTTTTCACAATTGGTAGCACATGCATATGCAATAAGTTAGTCTTGCTTTTGAAGCAAGCTGAATGTTTTTTTTGGTCAGCTGGCGTGTCTGACAAATGCGGAAACCCATCATTATGCTTAAGAGTATCCAAAACAGACTGAAATTTCCCCATATGAATGCAACCAACGCATGGAGATTTCCCTTTGTTTGGAGTAGTGTGGATTTTCTCCCCAGATGGCTGCACTCTGTTTACCTAATTCCAGAAAGTATTAGGTGCATGTTGACTAACAGGTAGCAGGAACAACTTGTGAGCCACTCGATGATCAGCACACCTCAGCATGAAATGTGTGTGAACATTGTCACTATCCTCATGCCCACAGTCTGGACAAGACTGGTATGAGCTGGTTACATGTGTCCATGAACTAAACGATGTTCAGCTCCATAAGCCCCCTAAACGCCTCACTAAATTTGCACCATTCCAAAAATGCCCGATCCCATAACACCAGCGCAAAATGTGTGCAGATGTTAAAATTGCACATACATACTTTGTGTGCCAAAAGTAATGAAACACATTTTCACTGTTACAAAATACTTGGAAATCAGCCCCTTTGGTTTCTAATCACATCCACATGTATTTTCTTATCATGACAGTTTCATGGCTTATGTAATGTTGTCCACAGGCTCCTCTATCAACGCCCTTCATGCAGGAATTTCTGTTCCCATTGTTCACTGTTCGAGTTCTCTCACCCTTTTTGTTTCTCAAAATAAGAGTTGTAAAAATCCTTCTATTTATTGCAGTGAAAGATTTCAAGTAAACAGTTTCAAGTCCCTAATATTACTTTCCAATTAATATACAGTCATTGTGGCTCTTTGGTACATCATAGGACTGTTCTGCATTACTATGAAGGTTTCTGGTCTTTGTCATCTTTGTCATGTGTAGCAGAGCTATTAGAGTGATTGTTTTATTTCTTCAATGTATTTTATATCTTCACTCATATATTTCTAATTGTTTCTCGCTGTTTGGCAGATGTAAACGTTAAATTTCAATTGTGATACCATGGTGTTTGCCTGACTTAGTTAGTAGGGCTATTGCCTCTGGGCCAGATGGCTTTGGGTTCAAATCCTATTTCAGGGTCTTTGAGCATGTGGTCCAGGCTTTACAGTCCAGTGCAGTGTTGGCAGAGTATTGTATTTTCAGAGGTGCAGTCCTTCAGATGTGAAATCTCCAAACACAGTGCCAGGACCATTGGAAATGCTGCAAAACCACAGAGCTGCCCAGTGTCAGGGGAATCCCACCAGTAGGTCCCTCCTGCGCTCATACCGGCAGTGACATTGATGGTGGCCCAGATGTTAAGTCTTTTTTAGTGTTGAAAGGCAGTGAAGGCAGATGCATTGTGTGATAAGGTCCGAAGTACAAATAACTATAAATGAAATAATTTAAATTCTGGCAGCACTTTATTAGTCAGATGACATTTTGTCCTTATATTTTCTATATTGTTGTTAACATATACAATTAGTATTGTAGAAAACATTAAAAAAATGCACAGGCACAAATACCTTTCCTTGAATACTTTACATCAATCACAACGAGTAGAATTGTCCCCTACAATCCCAGCAAATTATAAATGCAAGACAGTTAAAAAAAGGTAAAGAATCAGTCATTTTTAAATCATTCTGATTAATGCTAGACAAGAGTTATGTTCATACAACAATTTAATGTACAGAGTAGCAATAATAATAAATACTATATTGTCTTTTAACTTAGATTTTAGACCAAACATTGTTAATAGAAACATAAGCTTGTTAATGCAAAGTGGATTTTCTTCTTCATCAGTTCTTTTCCCACCAATTTTTCATCTTGTTTTCTCCCCCCACTTTCCCACACACCCCCTCCCCTCGATGGCAAGTATCTCTAATGATCAGTATTGGTGGGTATTAGACTGCAAACGGCATCACAGGCCAGTATGATCCAATCCTCCTCACACGTTCTTGAAGGGGAAGGTGGAGTCTCTGGATAGGAACCAGAAAATGTATTTTCCCGTGTGGTTTCTTCTCCCCTTTTGATTGTGCTTAAGGTCACCTCCCCACTCCCTCTCCCCTTGGCTTGTTGTCAGACTCCACCACTGTGAAGCGCTCTGGGACGCTACCCCACATGAAGGGCGCTATATAAATGCAAGTTGTTGTTGATCTAGGAGCAATTGTAACATCTCAACTGTTGGCCCAGGCAATTCGCTTTCTTATCTACATAACCTATTGCTTTTACCTGCTCGGCCATCAGGGCAGTTTGCTCCTTCCTGTTTAGTTATTGCACTTGTACAATAAAGAACCTATTTCTGCACTTTGCACCAAACCAGCTGTGTGCAGCAAAGGCTTTATTGTAAGCATCGGGAATCTGTTGTTATCATCCACTCAGCTGCAAATTAATGTTTGTAAGAGGCAGGTCACTGAGAATATTCATCTGTGCATGGATAGTTCCATCAGTTTCAGGTAGGGGCTGGTTATCTTTATCCGTCTTGTTTCTGAAGTCTGGCTGTATAACAACAAAGAGCAAAGAAGAGGTTTGTTGGCCTTGAAAAGCACAAACAAAAGGATCAAAATCAGAAGGATCAAAATATACTCACAAGAATGGGCATAGAAAAGATAAACACAGCAAGAGCAGTTACCTACTCACCTCACTGACATGCGATGAGATAGTATTGAGAGTATCAATAGTAAGAGTCATCTTGCTCACTGGCCTTTATACAGTCTTTGCTAATTTGCGCTTCAACAGTGAATTTCGCAAAACTGCAAGTTGCAATCAACACAAAGCATATCTCAAATAGTAAATTTATAAATGGAAATCCCAGCAATCTAATTATCGTTTCATTGTGAGTCCCAATATCAGTACAAAAAATTATTTCTTAAAGATATTTTCAATCTTCTGTAGTTTTGCAGAAGGTCTTCGCACAGATTATCGAGGCCTTGTCCCTGAAGAAAAGAAGTTGGGACCAGGCATCATGGGGCTCCCAAAGAGACTTATAAAGGAGAAAAGTGTAAAGAAAATGATACTGACACTCTACACAATAATGTACTTTTTTATATTTTGCATATTTGCAGAGTGCCTTTTTTTTAAACAATGGCAGAAACACTATTATCTTTCAGAAATTCATGTCAAGTTTACTGAATCCGCAGTTTCTTCCATTCCTTGCTTATCAGAGACACGTTGAGATACATTCATCTACTTTAAGCCTAACCTGCAGAACAAAGGTGGATTTTAAATGATTAGAGAATGCAATGAGAAAATGTCCATCAGGTACCTGGTTGGGAAATCATAGGACACTGCTTGTTCCCTGATTTTCTCTGCTTGCTGTTGACTGAGTGACTTCAGATAGGCCAAGTTGTCCTGCAGTTCATTATTCTAGACATGAAATGGCAAATGCATTATCACAAGTAATATCTCAGGAAATTATGCATTCAGATGTTTTATTAAAAAAAAGCAGTATGATAACACTTCCCAGTGCAATTGTAAATTGTAGATTTTTTTTTACTTATTTACCTAAACAAATCAATCTTACCTCAGCCTCCAACAATGAAATCCTGTCCATTAATTCATCAATCAACACATCTTTCTCTCGAATTTGTTTCTTCAGAGATTGAGACTGTAAAAATTAAATAGTATAAAAATGAGAGTCTGAGAACAATGGAATTTAAAACATTTGCCACATTACCGTTAAACAAATAGGATTATTTGGGATGTTTAAACGGATATGCACTGAAGTGTTACTCGCGCTATTTGCAAAGAAGGTGGTCAATTGCTGTAGTGTGGAACATACTCTCGGCATCATCAATGAATATAAGAGGGAAACGAGAGTTCAAACTCATCCACCAATTCATGCCAAAAGCAGTCAGTACTGTTTATAAAGACTGAATACTTTATCCACCCAAACCATTATGGTTAGTCACAGAGTAAACACAAGCAATTGGCTTGGACCTGAGCCCGAATCTTTAAGGATAAGAGAAATGCAATAAGTGAAAAAAAACAAATCCCCACAATCCGAGTCCATTAAGGAGAAAGGTTCCATTGCAGAAATGTGGCCAAATGGAAATCTAAAGCCTATGTTACAGGAAGACACGCAACAGAGTTAAATCATACTCTGATTTTCACAATTATCTCATCTAATTGAGGTGCGGTCTCAAAAGAAAATATTATGGTTTTAAGTATCGCAGACATCAGGCATAACAACTATATCTACCAGTGACCTAAAGTTGCATTGTACCAACTAATTGAGCTCCCCCTCAGCTACTTATGATAAAAATGAGCCTCACAATCTCCCCAAAGCTCAGCTCCCATCAGTCCCACTACCACGGTTACAGTCTCCTCCTGATACTCCCTTAATACTGGCGTAAAGTGCGGCAAACATTACGGTTGATGCCAAAACTTTTTGTTCAATAGAATTAGTTTTTGGTTTAAAGATGAATCTATTGACAGGAGATTTTTTTTGATTAAAGAAAAACAGAAGCAATGAAGTAGTTGTTCAAACCAATCGGTCCTCCGCACCCACCCGCCGTTGACTTTAGCTCACCTCTTCAATCATGTGCTTGACTTTCTTCTGCTGACAATGCACCATATTGTCCAGGTGTCGAATTCTTTCCCGCAGACTGGCAGTTTCCTCCTCCAATCTCTGAGACCTGATGACACAGGCAGCAGTTAACACGGCTTTGTGTAAACTGGAGCAGAGGATTTTCAAGAAGCCCATCAATCTGGCCTCACAGATGGACGTATCCCCTCCCCACTCACTCCTCCTCCACATTCCTGGCAGTCACTGAAGCAGCACCACCACCAAGTGGAATATGAGTGATCACTAATGGGCAAACCTGATGGACAGGATTCCTATTAAATAATTGGAACAACATGCAAGGATCCTGCAGGGCCTGCCTTCCCTACATTCCTGCTGTCCATCCCTACATCGCTTCACCCATTTAAAGAAAAAACGATTTACTTTGTGTGAAATGCCAAGCATTTTCCACATTTATTTTGTGTGTGTATGTGTGTGGGGGGTTGCCCTTGGATATCCATAAACCATGTCCCAATCATTAGTTGTGGAAATACCCCGTGCCTTGCAGAGATCTCTAAAGCCATATCCTCCTCTATGTGGCCCAATACATTTCAAGTAGTTCAAATACTGGGGTTATCCTACACCCATTGCTGAAAATAAATAGCCTTGGTTTTGTTACTCTATTTGCTTACAAGGAAAACTTCTTATAATAGTATGGAGTATGCATTGGAGCAAGGAAAACTCCTTGCTCCAATGCAGCCTCCGCTCCATCACATGCCCACTTATTAACGGTCCTTTAAGACCTTTTATAAAAAAGATCCTCCTTGGCGCAGTGAGTAGGTTCACTGCCAGTTAGTATTAATAGTGTTGCACGGGGAACTCATTGAGATATAAAGCAATAACAATAATTATTGTATTTGATTATAGTGTGTTGAACATGGGGAGGACGTCTCAAAGAGCTTGGCACGGTTTTACTGTGAAATACGGTGTCGGTGTATTTTGTAGGCGATTTGCAGGCTTTATAGAAGTGCACCTTTCACTGAGCTTAGAATCGAGTTCATCTCTTTGTTGAAGTTGCTGGTCATGAAGTTGCTGTTCTTGTTCCTGCAACCTCTGCCGTAAGAAGTGCCGCTCCTGAAAACAAACACATTACAGTCGGTCACTTTGGTGCATTATATCAGTTTCCACAGTGAACACAATCAATAGAGTTAGAGCCACACAATACAATACGTAGCAAATTGTTAGCGGAAGTCAATTTAATTTTGATTACTTCTATAGGCACTTGACTGATTGTAATGGTGTGGGTGGGGCGGCTGAGACGAGACACGGATTGGAGTCAGTGGTCCTTCATCTAGTGTTTTCCCAATTTCAATGGAGGGAGGAGGAGACCGTGAGCAGAGGTTAAAAATGGAGAGGAGAAGCGAAAGGGAGCGAGGGTGACGTGAAGCTAGTTTCACCGAGACCACCTGTCATGTCAGCCCTTCGGCCGAAGCGAGCAGGCATCTCGGTAGCTGTGGTATATTTAACCAACGTTAACAAAAAATAATCAAGAAACATGAGCTGGTCTAAAACCCAGCCCTAATGAACTTATTTAATGAGCCAAATGAGCCAAAAAGGCACCATTTCCTGCTCCAGAGAAAGAATCCAAAGTAATTTAATACTGTGTTGTTATTTTCCATGATCGCTTCAATAAAAACTTTACACAAGTCACAATAAACGCTATAGATAGTTTCCTCACTGGTGTTATTGGGATCCCTCATACGTTAATTGCTAAAACAAGCAATCTTTTTGTTGCTTATTTACAATGGCCTGTACAAGGCACTAGGGTTTCTATCTAAAGATAATCTGTTGGTCACAGCAGTGGTCTGGCAATTCCTTTTACTCTATTTGTTTTAATAAGACCAAATTCGAAAGTAGTGCTTTGAGACAACTCAACAACATGATAGGCGTTATATTGTTATTAATAGTAATAAGTAAAAACTAACTAGCCAAACTTGCATTACCTGGGATTTTACTGCAGGTTCTACAATAGTCTTTTTAATATACTTAATATATTAGAAGTAGCCACACACAGCAGCAACCACCAATATCGCACATCAAAATTCACTTTACAGTATATTCTGTGAAGCGTTTTGAGAGTTTCAACTATGTGATAAGACACTATTTCAATTGGAAGGATCATTGTTACTATTATTAGTATAAAATTCATCAAAAAGCATGAAACAAAATTCACTCTACCTTCTCCATTCGGACAATAAACTGGTCCATTTCCTCAATCTTCTGGTCCCTCTCTTTGAGCATCATCTCTGCTTCCTCAGCCCTCTTGGTGACATCTTCCAGTTTTTGCAAAGTTTGGTTTATCCTGGCCTTGTTTGACCAAGCAAAGAATGAATGCACATTCAGTTTGATCCATCAACATCAATACAGGGCTCAAAGGGTTAAAACAGTTGATGCCTCCATTTGCTGGGACACCCCTTGAAAGTGGTCAGCAGGGGGCAGCACCAAGGATATGACAGACCAAAGCAAATTCTTGCTCATTGCAATTTGCAGGGCTGCTGCTCGGTGAAGCATTCGACGTTGCTTAGAATCGCTATTAGCTCCAACATTAATGCCAACCTAGCTTAGTCAGGAAATTAAAATCTGGCTCGTGCATTAATAGCCGAAACTTTAACATCCCGAAAGGAATAAAAGATGACATATTTCATATGCCAGGCATCTGACAGCTTAAAAACTAACATTGAGTAAATAGGCATTACTGTTTCGCTCCATGACTCAGATGGTAAAAGCACATCTCGGTTATAAACAGAGCCTTAATCACCGGGAAGATCCCAGGTTCAATTACCAGTTTGGGCTTTAGTTTAACGATCTGTGATAGGAGTGATGGAATTAGTCTCAATGGTCCGTGGACCAGGGAAGGGATAAATCAGTCAGGGTTCCGTCTCCTGATCACTATCCATTGGCCCCTATTGTAAAGCACACATGTGTGGAAGGAATCAGCTCAGCTGTGATGCTTCCTGCAGTTGCCTGGCCTGCAAACACTCACTGTCACAAGCTCACACTTTGGGTGAGGCACTGGAGGGAAGCCAAGGCCTGGAGAACAACAGTTGCCAGTGCCGTCAGGAAAATAAGTGAGAAAATAAAAGGAAAATAGGCATCGGTTGCCAAGTAAAGAGCACGTCTCTAGCATATTGCAATAAATCAGTAAGTGAAACATTATTCACTGTCTCGTCCGGCTCCAGCCGAGAGAGATAGAAATTATATATAAATATTCTACTGTATATACAAATGTTCAACAATAAAAGGTAGACAGACAGGTGCAGCACAAAGGGAGACCTTCTGCAACCAGGGGAATTGGGATCAGTTTTCAGCGTATGTCCATCTCGATCCAGAGAGGGCAGGACAGTCTGAAACACTCAATGGCAAAGGTTCAAGGCCAGATTGCATGAGCCATACTGTTCTCCTCCAACAAGTGGGGCAATGCAGCCTTGGGCAGCCACCGTAACCTTTCTGCCTCAAACAAAGGAACATGGGACAGTCAGCCTAGCTAGTCCGTGCCAGTGTTTATACTCTGTCCCTCATACTCCCCTTACCCATACCCCTCTATTCTCTTCTTCATGTATGCATGTTTTCCCTTGAATACCTTGATGCTTTTTACTCTCATAGAGTTACCACCATCAACATTGTATCTCCTACTCCACCTTAGAGCACACGATGATTCCGAGCCAAGAAGTGACCATGACTTTAAAACAGGGAGAGCCAAAATTGAGAACAAGCAAAAAAAAAAGAACTTGGATGTAAATCTGAGACCATCTCTTCAGATTGACAGTGAGTTGCGTGTATTAGAAAACAAGAACAGAACCAAAAATTCATACTTGGATAGTTTCCTTTTCAGCCTGGTGTTTCTGCTCAACTTCCTTCATCTTAGCTTCATACTGGTCGTAAAGCTTCCTCGTCATGTCTCTCATCACGCTGGCATTGGCTTCCTGGGAAGATTCTACCTACGAATTGTAAACAACAAACGAACGTGAAAATACAATCTCTAGCTTAATGTAAATTACTGCTACGTTTACACTTTTTTTTACCGCCAGCCAGGTGTCTGACGCACGCGGAAACCCATCGCCATGCTTAAGAGTATCCAAATCAAACTGAGAATTTCATGTGCACGTCTAATAATCCGCTGAACTGCTTTTCCCCCCACGTTGGGGAGTGTTTCTAAAGCACTGTAACATTGTACACATCAGGAATTCGGCACAAAATTGTGTGAATGGCAAATATTTTTACGGCATCACGTTAAACATTTAGCACCTCGATAAACCTAAACATTAGCAAAATAATGGCCAATGAATGCCACTACTATGCTATACGAGTGACAAAAATGAGTGCATTTTTGACATTTTTGAATGTGGGTGAAGGCATCACAGCTGAGCTCAATGATCACACCCAACGGTCACACCCATCCAATTTCAGCTGGAAAGCAATCAGGAGTTGAATTCCGTGCAGGTTTCTCCCCATCTTTTGCATGGGAGGGGTGAGGCTAATTTTAGCATCTCCGGCTGCTATTTTGGCTGAGATCAGCTAACACACAGGGCGTTCAAAAGGCCACGTTCAAACCATTGTTTACCTTGAGTTGCAGGATCTGATTTTCAGCTTGGGCTTCTTGTAAGTACTGGTCCTTCTCTTTGATTTGGTCCAGTGACTGGCGGTACGATGCTCTGAGATTTTCTATTTCCTCTCTGCTCTTGTTGCCTTCGAGGGTTGCACTCAACAGGGATTTCTAACCAAAACAAAGCATGCAGTCACTTCTTCTCCTGTGGTATGACTGCTGTGGACACAAAGCACTCGCCAAGGCTATAATACAGTAATCTAATTGATGGCTAACATTGAATATTGATCATTAGGAAATAGTTCCCCTTACCGCTACATTACCTAAATTCCGATGGTATAAATGTTGGTTTTATTGCTCTTTTCAATGTGATAAATGCAGGAAAACTCAGTGTTCTCCATACTTCTTCACATTCCCTGTAATGCTTTACTTCTAGCTGTATGATTGGCAGATTTCTCACTGGCTCAGCTGTGATCCCCCCAAAAGGGTGTTCATTGTTGGTCTAGGTTCTGGTGACAGTGCATGTGGAAAGAGATGAAACCTCCATCTGTGCACCTTCTGCTATTTCCTTCCTCCTTCCAAAGAAGGTGACAACTGTTGAGTGCAACCTGAGTCGCCGGAACCAGTGTAGATGCTTTTTTTCTTAATATACATTTCTTAGTTGTGATGCGACTCCAAACAAGACATCTGTTCAATCCAGTTACTTTCTACTTTGAAGAGTTAAACACACAAACATCACAACTTTTTAGTTAGGTTTGCAGTCCACTGCACCAATTTAGTTGCGTATCATTACCGCCATCCCAAATCTCGTCCTGAGAAAGTATTTTGAAAGTATTGAAAACAATTGAAAGCATCCAGGATTGGGTTTTATTGTAATAGTGCATCTCGGGATTTGGGGAACAAAGATAAAGGGTCTGGTTTCATCATCACAGTTTCTGGACATCCTTCCTCACCATTCACCCACCTACCCCCTCCACAAGACATTTCAAGCATTACAAAGCATTTATTATTCTGTCCAGCACAAGTTGCTCTGTGGTTCCCTGTGGTGAATGGAGCAATGATTAATTGTCTACCTGTAAATCAAGTGTCTTGGTTGCCAGAGTGCTGTTCACCTGGGTGTACTGGTCGAGTACTGCAGATTGGTTCCGTAGTTCACCCTCCAGAGCCTGCTTGTGTGCCTTTGAAACCTAAAGCAGTTCAGACTCGACTGTAATTATACTCCAATCAAACTTTATTCTGGCAGGAACATTTTAAATGGTTTTACAGCCATGTGATATGTCTGTAATTGTTTTGGTTTAAAAAGGCAATTTTCTACAAAATAATTTTCATTTTTCTACAATACTTGGTAACTGAGATCAACTGCGCCATGGAAATACAACCATGTTTTGGCTCCATGCAAATTAACATTTATTTGGTTACGAAACGCATGTCAAATGCACTCAGTTCGGTGATTAAAAAAAGTTGGCTTAATGCAATATGTCAGAGAGATTAACTTTATTTTTTTGTGAAAAAAAAGAAAGGAAATAGTTAGATGATGTCGTGCATAAATACATCACTCTTTCAACCTCCGATTGCTGTGCAGACTGATGTGGTAAGTCTCAATTACCTTGTTTGCTATAGGGATTCTAAGGGTCGGTTTTGATCAGTCTCAACCAAGTTACCCAATGGGTACAAGTTTCCCTTAGCACAGGACAAGTTATATTAGCTTGAAGTGCTTTGAGATGTCTCAATGATGTCCAAATGCAAGGATTATTATTAACATGATTATATTATGATACGAATCAGAAAAGGGGGATGAGGGGGGCGGGACCTCTGAGACTAGGGTAGACAGAACAGAGGGAGGAAACTAGATTAGAGAATAGGAAGTGAATCATTCTCCCAAAAAACTTAAAATGCCAATACAAATTGAGCAGCTGCCATTTGTTTTTTATAAAGCCGTACTCTGTTATCCCTCGTTGAAGCCTAATCAGTCGGTCAATTAGTTGCAATCACCATTATACAGTCAGTAATAAGGTTATAGAAGGTGCTCCAGAGCTCAGACATTTATTGCTCATCTCACACCTCTTTGTTTGCAGGCTTGGATCCAAATTGGCAGCAATGGAACTCAGCTTGCCTCAACAATACTCAGCAAGTACTCTAGCGTGATGGGATATTTCACTTGGGGCAAACACACTTTTGTGTGTAACCCACTTTACCCACCCACCAGGCTGGCATCCCTTTCATCTGCCAAACCATTAATGTTTACCCTACTGATAGGAAATGTAATGTGACAGGAATCCAATTTACAAAAAAAACAATTTCATACCACATCATATCCGAAAAATAATGAGATTCCCAAATCTAAATGCTTTGTACGTCTGAGTCTCAACAATCACCATTTTTGTAATGTGACCTATTTCTCCGTGAAGGTCAATTAAATGGAAATGTCAAAAAAATCAGCTAATTCACCTCCCGCCCCTCTTCATGTGCATTTTCCTCATGATTATGTTTCTTGATTGTACATCGAATCAATCTGTTTGCATTTTTGTGCCAATTTTCTGCCTTCCTCCTCTCCCGTTGATGCTGCTTCTCACTGGGAATATGGTTCTGTAGACACCCCCAGTCTCTGATACTTGCCTGATTTTCATGAAGAGTGAGCATTGGCAGCCTATTGAATTGGGAGTGTGGGGGGGGCCGTGCATCAAAGCCAAAGCTTAATCTTGTTCTCACCCAACATCCATACAGAAACACACACACACACTTTCAGCAGCAGTTGGTCACTGCATTTTTATCGGGATCAGAATCTCTGGCTTATTTTTCCCTTCATAGCCCAGTAACGCTATTAAGGTCTCACTGAGATGCTAGCACACTTGCAATGATCACAGAATTCATGTGGCTTGAAGGAAGCATAACGACTTACCTTCATTTCTTTTGTGAGGTATTTTATTCTATGGTTCATTTCATTAGAGTCACTGAAGATTTTCTGTCGGACGGTCTCCAGTGAAGTTCTCACCTGAGGTTGAGCAAGCAAACAACACGTCAAACAGGGCAGACAAAACTAGCTTTAAATTTCCATTCTCTCTTTTTTCGTGTCTCTGGGATTCCGATAGTCAATTACATTGCTCCACTCGATAATTTTGAGTAAACATAAAGAGTCACTTTTAAACACAGGACTATAATATTCCCCATGTGGACATCAGCAATAACGCTCTCCACACCACAACACAAATATTACATTATGTAAGATCCTACTTCTTCAGGAGCTACGCTCCATTTCCACTGATGTGAATCCTGTGTCAGAATTGTGGAGGAGGGTAAAGTGGGAAAATCAAGGCTACAGATGTCTCCATGTCTTCTGCCAGCAATGTCACCTTGTGATGAGCCAACAAGAACCGTACCATTGAGATCAAGAGTTCTTCTGTCATGTGGCTCTGTACATAGCGCTCCAAAGCGTTACTCTATATAGAAGGGTACTAGATAATTGGCCTGGCCTTGAACTGATTCAGTTAGAGCAGATCAATGTTACTGACTATCTAACTCATGGTTAGAAATGCCTCCTCACTCAATGCCTCCTTAAATGTTAGTTTTTAATAAGTTGAAATAAAAATGCTTAGGAAAAATGAGTGCCACAAGGAAACATTGCCTTACCTCCTTAATGTACTTCATTTCCTCTTTCAGCTGATTGACCGACCACTCATAAACAAGCACTTCCGAGTTATTGGGGTCAGTCCGCTTTACCAGCCCATACACCTTACCGCGAGGTGATGCAGCCAAACCATTGGAAAGGTGCTGTGAGAAAGAACCATATCAGTATTTCAATGTACAGTGTTGTTACTGAACATCTCAAGCTCTCTGAGACACTATTCGGAGTGAAGGGTACTATATAAAAGCAAGATGTTGTTATCTTTTCCTGACTGAGAGAGATAAAGTGCCCCAGTCTGGTAGATCAGAATTGTATATCCAGTCTCCTGGACGTATCTATAGTTAAAATGTACTGGTGCAACCCTCAGCTAACAGTGAACGTGTCAAGGGATTCTTTCATCACAATAGGAAGTCATTTGAAGGCTTCCCCTTGTCCCAAGTCCAAGTCTGCAAATAAGGCACAGATGAGAAAGTTCCTAATCTGTGCTGAGTTAGCTAATCTAATCTGGGCAGTGATATCAAATTTAAATTCCCCTTCTCCCACACTCCTCCACAACTGTATGCCTCCTTTACTGATGTCCCCTGAGACAGCTACTTAAGCATGACTTCCTAACAATCTGTCTGAGGAACTGACAACGGGCAAATTATTCTCCAAGCCATGAAGCTCATCAGAGATATTAAACATTGGTTGGGTTTAACCCACAGCAGTAATGAAGGCAGAGATCAAACAAATAGCACAGGGAGCAAGAGAAGATCTCCTCTCAAGCAGGGAGACTTGGTGGATGCTGTAGATCATAGTTAAGATATCTACTCATGGCACTGAATGCCTTCCAAAGGTTTTTCTTTGAGTGGAGAAAGAATGCAAAAAAGGTGTTATAGTTCTGAGAATACTGACCAGGTAAAATAACATAGTGCGATATAATTATCTGACATCATTTGCATTTTCTGCGATAGAAGCATATGTAGAGGCCTGTATGGATAGAGTACCTAGGATTCTAAGCCATGTGAGTGAAAGGAAGAGCTGAGAGACAGGCAGCTTCAGCACTCCTGCAATATATACGGTTTATCAGAGTGCATGCTTAACACTGGTGTTGCTTTTGAACAGAAGTGTGTGTTGTGACCCTCGTATGTTGCAGGCACCATACCAGTAGTCGGGGTTGTTCTGCACGTTCTGCACTGTTTTGTTCCGAACTGAAATATACATTATGTCTTCTTTCATTTCCCGCAATTCTGCACTCTCCCTGCACAGAAGAAGAAAAAAAAAGACATCCATTGGCAAGCATGCACTTTGGACTGAAAACAGGCAAATTAACTCTTTAGACACCAATTGCTCTTTTGCGCCTTTCAAACCAAGTCGCGTCTGTTAGAACGCTGTGCGTTGCTTTCCCAGAAATGAATCGGTCTGAATGGCAGGATTAAGCACTTTGGGACATCCTCCTGATGTGAAAGGCACTACATAAATGTACTTTTGTATTGTATTACTCAATCACATTAAGGAATACCGCAAATTAGATACCAAATATAACAACAACAAATTACATTTGTATAGCGCCTTTCAAGTCGAGAAGACATCCCAAAGCTCTGGACTGTCAAGGATTTGCTAAAGTTTACTAACAAAGTAAACCAACACACAAGTGACACACAGGGTTCCGAGTCATCCATTATAATGTACCTGGGAAAGCAACAAATGAAGAGAGATTTGACAAACACATTGTCAAGATGACAGGCCTCTTTTATGAGCCCATATCCCATCTGGAGAGAAATTCCACCGGGATTCCAGATTCCCGTACCATTTTAGAGCATCCAGAATTTGGCAAAGTGTTGAATTAAATTCAGTCTTAAGTTTGATATGGGTTTTCTCTGATTCTCAAAAGAGACTTGCATTAGATACAATTTAAAAGAGTTGTGGCCAGTGGATTTGGATGGGGGAGTTAAAATCCATGCTGTCAGAGAAACAACAGAATATGACAAGGAGCACAAGTGGAAAAAAAATTAATGGAACAGATGGGAATCATATGAGTGACACTTGAAGGTCATCAGCAGTTTAACTTAAAAACACAAACTCAGCATGACAGGTTGTGAATGTACACCAAGTGCATTAATCTTAGTCAAGAGCTTCCAAGAGTCAATTGAATTGTCTGAATCATCTCCGAACTCTATGGAATTAATTGCTAAATTGAATCCATTCTCCAAACCAGGACATTTATTACAGCAAGAGAGCCCTGCAGTAGTGATAAAAATTGTGATTTAATGCTGAGTTCAAGGACTTATTACTAATAACCCTAACATCTAACTTACAAATACAGGTACTTCAATTAACTTTGGGGTTGGCAGTGTTGGAATTGCAACGATGAATGAAATAATGTGAAAATAAATTAATTTGCACCCACAAATGGAAGAGGGAAAGACTGAATATTGGACCCGAAAACATAGGCTGGAACAGTAATGAGAAAAAATTCACAGGAGATGTTGAGATGAAAAAGGATCCTTCGGCCGATATGATTGCGTGCTTTCAGAACACCCGCCCAAGAGTTTCTCAGCATATCAAGCGTTTGTATAAAATGGAATCATTAATAATAAAAGAACTCTTAAATAAATCAATAGCAATTCCACGTTTTCTAAATTATTATCAACACTTTGTTATCAGCGCCTTGGGACGTCTTCCCGACGTGAAAGGCGATAGACAAATGTCATTTGTTGTTGTTATTGCTGTCATTGTGGAATTGAGCCATAAGGACCAGGAAGGTCCCAGGTTTGATTCCCGGTCTGTTCTGAGCTTGGGAGGCAGTAGGTTTGCTACAATTGTCTTTAATATTCCTGAACTAGGGAGGAGACAATCAGGATATTGGCTCCTGGTCGCTGTTCAGTGACCCTTTGTTGGGAGCTATGTGTGTGTGTGTGTGTAGGTGGGTAGTTGGGTATCAGATGGGATCGGGATTGAAGCCAGCCGTAATTTGTCCTGCTAGGCATGTAGCATGTCCAGTGAATAGAGCACTCGCCTCGCAAACGAGAAACCTGGGTTCCATTCCCGGCAGAGCAAAACGTTGGGCAAGCTTTCTTACTCCACACGCCTCTGTTTACCTAGCAGTAAGTAGGAACCTGTTTGTTAGTCAATTGGTGGATCGCTTTTCCAGAGGTAATAATTGTTTCAAAAAAGAATAATAAATTGGTCACTCAATCCACAATTGTCTGTGGGATACTGCTGTGCGAAATTGGCTGCCACGTTTCACCCACAAAATATACAGTCAATTCACTTTACAGTATATTCTGTGAAGCGCTTTGAGACATCTCGAAGACATGATAAGGCGCTATATCAAATGCAAGGATTATTATTATTATTTACTGTCAAGGTTTACACTTGAAGAATGGGCACCTGGGCAAGATAGCAGAAACCAGGCAAGTGAAACCAGTGTGTCAGCAAAGGAAAGAAGGAAAGAAAAATGGACGAGGGAAAGGGAGGGGAGGGGGAAAACAACTTTAAATTTATGCCCAAAACACAGAAAATATAATATTCCACCCTCTATCCTCCCCATATACCCATCCCCGGACATTCATTATTCTAGCAAATCACATCACCGTAATTGTTTACCTGGGAAAACATATAAGTACCGATTCCACAAAGTAGGCAAACTGGTGGATCTCTGAGGTGTGAGCATGTGAGGGGATCTTCTATGGTAAAGTCAAACTGCTAAACTCTGTATCGTGCTTCTGAGAATCAGCCGTGTTATTATTTGCTTTTAAACAGGAAATCTATACAAATATTGGATGAACAGCTGCCGGAGAGGATGCCCAGAGGGAAAGACTGGAATTTGAATGGAGTGCTTGAAAGGAGCATTATATGTGTTTGTGTGTATGTATGTGTGTGTGCTGGGGAGTTTACAGGACTGTGATAGAGTGGCTATTGTCCCAAGAGCAATCTAATAAACAATACAGCCTATAGCAGGCTGTTGCAATGTGTGCACACACACAGCAGCTTCCACACACAATACATAGTACCTTGCAACAGCAAACAATACTTCCTTTCCCTATCCAAGAATGTTTTGCTGCAGCACAGGCACGCTAGTGTTTAATTAATGATCATCTGACAGTGTTGCACCAAGGATGATACAAAGACTTGATTAAATCTTAATAAGCACATCACCCTCTATCTCATGTTGCCTGCCGGAGGATTAAGTTTTCCCACCACCTCTGCATTGTACTGAGCCTTTAATTATTATTTAATTTATTTCGCCCACAAACACACAGCCAATCCTCTTTACAATATATTCCGTGAAGACATCTCAATGACTGATAAGGAGCTGTATCAAACATAAGGATTGCTATTAGTTTTATTCTAGGATCTGACTGAGCGGAGTCTGGAGAAAGAAATCAGGTGAAATGCATTGTGTTGGTCCTAAAACATTTAAATTGGCTGCGAAATACATTCACTACATTTGACAGCAATCACCTGTGAAGCACTTTAAGACGTTTTGACAAGTGTAATGGCTTTGTATTTGAATGACCAATTTCATTTTTGAGATCATTGGCCAGGGAGAAACTTTCTTTGAATAGTAACATGAGATCTTTAATGTCAACCCGGACAGACAGATGGGATGCCAGTTTAACATCTCATCCAAAGGATGGCACCTCTGTCAATGATTTTTAAATGAATTCTATCAATAAACTGTGATGTAGATTTGGTTTGCTGCAGGTTTGCAGTCTAACCCAACAGGATGAATGATAGCAGTTTAATTTTACAAATAAACATGATGCTCTATAATACTCAACAAACAGGAAGAGAGGGCACAATATAAAGTACAAGATGCTGTCTTCAGAAATATAGTCCAGAGAGACATTTATTGAATCATATAACAGGAATAAAACAATTGATTAAATCGTCGCTATCCAGACTAACTACGGTCAGCGCCGGTACATCTGATATGACTGATTGGAATGTCTCTTACAACGTAACCCACATTCCTCATCCTAAAATTTCCCAAACCCTAAAACCAGGTATTATCATAGAATTCCAGAACGGAAACCACTTGGGAGTCATTGATTCCATGTTGTGTGATAATGAAACCCATTTCCAATCACAAACAAGCAGGCACCGTTATGTCAAAAAAAACTATCAACCTTAACTCAACAATCATATAAACCTTTCTAAATGCCAACAATTACGCTGTTATCTCAAAAACAGGTCTCAACTTCCTTCACGTGAGTTTTATATGCTCCAAAGTCCTCTCAGTGCCTCAGTGTTCTCATTCACCCATTTGCAATTCCTTCTCCTCTCATTAAAGCTTCCTGCAAAGGCCAGACCTCATTAGTGGTGAAAGGAAATGTTTGCCCGGGCAAGAATTTTAAGCTTTCCTGATATTCTGATTGATGGAGTAGGTGTATTAAAATGGAGAGCCCTACATTTGGCTAAACAACATCAATCCATCAATTTATATGTAACCACTAGTTTTGATCAATATATAGGAAATGCCAGCAAGCTGCTAGGTCAATGTTACCAGATTTGCAGTTATTGTGTTGAACACCTATACTCTTGTTTTATTTTTTTTCTAAACTCTTCTGCTGTTTTGTGAGACTGTGCTAGATCTTTTAATCCTGTTTAATTTTGAATCCATCACCTTCAGGGGCAGTGCTTTCCACATTGTCACAATGTTTTACCAATTCATTTCTTCTCTAATTGTAAGATTTGTCCTCTTGTTTTGGATCGTTCAACAAGAGGGAAGAATTATCCTCTGACTAGTTGTCAGCTCCCATCATTACTTTAAACACCTCAATCAGATTAACTCTTAACTTCCTCTGCTCCTCATTGCAGTTAAACCTCTTTATTGAAGGTGTTAATGTGGTAAATCGTTGTGTATATACTCCATGGAGCTACAGATCATTACTAAGTCGGGCTCCTCAAAAACAAATACAATATTCCAAATGATGTCTGGCCGGCCATCATTTTTGAACAGTTCTGTTCTGGCTGGTTTGGGATTAGAGTAAGTAGTTCCAATGGAGGAGCCAGCATCAATGCAATGGGCCAAATGGCCTCTTTCTGTGCTGTAGATCTTCCATGATTCCATAATGCACAGTAAATATGAGAGAGGACACACTATAGTCCAAAGAGGTAAAAGAAACTGTGGTTGAAACCAGTAGAATGAAACCCGAGAACATTATTATCTGTAGCATCTCATTCCTGAGATTTTGTAATTTTTGAAACACACCCAACCTCTGCTTAATGTACAGGATATACAAAGGTGAGGTTTACAGGAGCTAGTTTTATTTTGTTTGTTTGTTTCTCTGCCTCTCACACACCCACACAACAAGATAGCAAGTTCCTGTGACCTAATTCCACACTGAGTAAATAATGCCTTATGTCACTGTCAGCCTTATAATAATAAAAAATAATAATCCTTGCATTTGATATAGCGCTTTTCACGTCTTCTCGACGTCTCAAAGCGCTTCACAGAATAGACTGTAAAGTGAATGGACTGCATTTTTGTGGGCGAAACTTATAGAGACTAACATGCAGAAAATTTGTCAATAATCAGGCATTATCTTTCTTCCTTCAGCTTTTATGTGCTGAGAAAGCAAACTTAAAATGTAGAAAGGATGTACGTAGGATGTAAAATACCATGCAGTTGTAAAGAAATGAACAAGCATGCAATCAAGCTGATGTGTATTTAATTTTCCAGGTAACGCACTGAGATGGGAAACAATGAGATTTTTGCATCCGAATGGCTCGCTTACAAATAAGCAAAACTGTAGCAAGCAAGTGCTTTATATATATATAGATATAAGCACGATCACTAGACAAGAGGGACATATTCAACCACTTCACAAGCCTGACATTTCGCATGCTCTTAACCTTTAAGGCCAATGTTTTCAAATGTAAGAACTTGGGAAAGAATTCTTAAAATCAGTCTCAATCTAGAAACCAGTTTTCCGTAGTTCTTTTTGGGAGTCTATCTGAGATTTCGCCCACAAAATAAACTGTCAATTCACTTCACAGTCTATTCTGTGAAGCGCTAGGAACGTCTCGAAGACATTATCCAGCAATCTGTAATGGAATTTTTTTTCCTTCCAATGCAACTGTACTGTACAGGGTGCTCTGGGACTCTACCCTACTTGAGAGGAGCGTTATAAATGTAAGTTGTTATTGTTGTACGGTCAATATAATTCTGCGCAATATTGACGGGAAATTTTTATCAATAATCATGCCCAATTTAACTTCCTTTTCACCTTTGCTGCCTTCATTGTGATGACTCCAAAACACAATACAATTTATATTATTTAGTTACTGAAATCCACAGTCCAGTTGCCGTTTATCTGTAGTTCGAATGCACGTTGCTGTTGTTATCAGTTGGCACTTTAACCACTCCTGGAAGCCTGTGTTCTGTGTGTGTGGTATGTGTATCTCCTGTACACACAGGCTATAAACTTGCTAACTATTGTATTAAAATGCCTCTATACCTGCTGTATAACCTCCACTGAGAAGGAGGGGTTGTTTTTTGCGATGTGTGCTCTCTTTTGTTCAGAGGCGAGCTAGTAAACATTTGTCTGACCTTTGAGAAAGACGTACAACTGGTATTATCTTCTGTACAGACAGTTACCAGTAACACATCACCACCCACTGTCACCGAGTGCCTAAAGGCCAAGTCGGTGAATCCCTAAGCTTCATATTTGCATGGCTGTTTTGAAGGAATAAGCAGTAGGTACAGACCTGCCTCAGTAAAGCACCTCTAACAAGACACTGTTTATAGTAAGCGTTGTCACTAATGTACAGTGCAAACCTCATCAAAATATCTAAGCACAGCTGAAAAAAATGCCGAGGTCACAAGTAGTTGCTGCAGAACATGTTAGTTTTAGAGCATTTTCACTGAATTCTTTCATTACGGGTCAAAGGTTCAAAGTTAAGTAAAGACAACAGCACAGTAAACCTTTTAAAACTAATATGAACCCATTCACCGACCTGCTAAGTCACTAGCAGCAGTTTTGCTATGGCAGGTGGGTACTATCTGTGGATATATTAAAAGAATGATCTTCACCCCTGCAATTATCAATGTAATGTAACCCCGGCAAATGCCACAATCTCTCCTATTCTACGTTAATGGACAAGAATCTTGGGACGTCCTCCTGACATGAAAGTCGGATATGAATGTAAATTTGTATTGTGTATTGTAAGACAACCACCCGATTGCATTTTGTTCAATTTCATGCACACTTTTGGTTTGTCAAGGAATTAAATCAGGTATCCCTCACACGACCTGTTTGGAAATGATTCAGTTGTTTAACTCCCTCGATTCAAGTTTTTATGCGTCCTTGAGCCACTGACTTCTGCTCTTTCTCCCTGATAATCACAGAGTCAGTGCGCAGAGCAAACACTGGATAGTGATAACACAAAACAACCAACTATTGTGAAGATCCCTGCTGTAAAGTGTGTCGAGCGGATTGTCTCGGAGAGAGACAGGCAAGGGAAAGGACTGAAGGAGAAAAACTGGTGAAAAAATATCTTACCCAAAGAAAGGAAGACACTCTTTTAACTCCCTACCTGCCAATCATGAGCTATGCATTTGTTGCCTTTAACACCGAACATAATTATTTTGTGAGTCAAACAGTTCTAGGGTTCAACCTTCAAAAGCAAACGTACAGCCTTTTTTTACGTGTGGCCTTTAAACCGAACGTTGGTCTTAAAGCGAAGATTCGAAACTCTCTCTCCCTCTCTCCTGGGTTAGTAACATGCGGTTATGGTTGAACAGTGACAGAAGATGTGACATTACTGACCGTTTCAGTTGTCCCGTTCCTTTTGGGTTCGTGCGGTGCAGAAGCTGAGCTCCCTTCAGGGCGGAGAGTCAACCGGAGTCTCCTGACCTAAAGCGAAGGAAAACCGTGCGTTTGATCAATTCCTGGGGCACAAGTATTTACGAAAGGAGCAGGATTAACGGCAGGGCTAGCACGCAGCCCCGCCACCACAAACAGAAACGTTTCCTGCGCTTTTACCAGGCGGCTTTTATACAGAGTAGAAAACAACGCAGCGGGCTGATCGGCATTAAATGTTTACAGTTAGGAAACAGTTTGTGTACGATTGTTCCAGTTACGTACCCTCGTTGAGCTCTCTGGTGACTCAGTGGTAGTGTATGTCGTGTTCGAGTTAGAATGGAGCATCGTGATGTAGTTTGATGCGCAATTCCGCTTGTCTGTGTGTTGTCCTGCCACAGCCACAGCAACTACACAGCACCCGTTCCTTCTCCCGACTTGCCGGTCAGTCCCAGATTTTTACACTCGTGACTCCTGCCGAGCTTCTCTTGCTTCTGGTAGTTTGAACTTTGGTAAAAATTAGAGGCTGTGAGTTGCGACAGGACCAGAGTTGGCAGCAAGTTATAAAGCCACTCGGTCAGCGCTCAGTTAAGTTAGTTCCAGGGTGAGGCAAGGCAAGATGTCATCTCCGAACACTTCATCTGTTTTCATGCCAGCCCAGAACGATGGCGAATTATTCGCTTCTTAGCAACACGCCTATTATGACACATCTGGGGTTACGGACTTAAACAACCTGTCAAACAGCATTTCACCTGTTACAGACTTCCTCTTTACAATGCTTTGCATGGGCGTTGGCTCATTCCACACTTATTATCACTCAATATTGCTTTGGGTGCTTTCCTTCAACAGAAAGAACGCAAACCATTTGTGTCCAACTTTGACCATATCTAACGCTCTGCCGGAAATCGAGCACATTTCTTTTCCACAACCTCTCATCCCCTCCTCTCCCAATGTTTTCCTTTTTTTAAAAAAAACACATACGCCATATAAAAACTAGATTAAAACCTTTGAAGAGATGTTGCTTTTTACTTGAGGTCCAAAGTGTGCAGCGATACCAATCGCTTGGTAGTGCAAAAGTCTGTATCTCTCCTCGAATGTCTGTTAACTCTTCGAGAACTTTGAAACAGATAGAGTAAAATAAAGTGATAGTTCTGTGGGAAACAAACAGGTCTTGTGCTGCAGAGACGAGGAAGGATGACAGGGAAAGGGTGCGGAGGAAGATGATGTAGATACAATCAGGTAGTCACAAGATTGGTCTGGATGAAGAAGGCTCTCCAATCTCATCCCTCCACACCCTACTATTAATTATTAATGATAATCCTTGTATTTTGTACAGCGCCTAATCACGTCATGGAGACCATCCCAAAGCCCTTCAAAGGAATCACTGCAACGTGACTGTATTTGTAGGCAAACGTGGCAGCCAATGTCCCCAAAACGGCTATGAAGCAAGTGGCCAATATTGTCTGGGGGATTTTTTGGCCTGGTCACGGGGCGAAACTCCCTTCTCTTTTTGAATAGAACTATTGTAAATAAATGAGCAAAGGCCTTTCACTCATTTAGATGCTGATGTTCTTTATTCACCATCATTTTCCAACAGGCAGAGGGAGGCCCCTAGAAAACAACAACAAGATTGCATTTGTATCGCGCCTTTCACGTCATGAAACAACATGAGAATTTGCATATTCTGCAGCATCTCACCAGACAACTTATATAGAACCTCGCCAGCCTTGTTCTGCTTTTGGCACAGGCCTGGGTAACAAACTCTGACCACATTAGTTGTTTCTCCCTCAGATCGATGGCTACATGTTCATGCTTATTGCATGTGACAACCAGTCTTGTAGAAGGGGAACTAGATGGTTCTTGGTTTTTTTTTCACCTAGCAATTCCTATGTTCCTAGATGCAACCATTATTCCACATTCCTGTTGTGGAAAGATTATTCCATTGTTGCCAGATCGCATCACGATATAAGGCTCTTCCCAAAGTAAAGGATATGGAATTCCACCTCCACAAAAAAAAGCAAGGAATTCTTCAAATAGTTTCAATAAACGTTGTTCACAGTTTAACTAGTTTTTTTTTAAGAAAGCAGTTCAACACAAGTTTACTATTGACAGAAACTCTTGCGAGTTATTTCATCTCCTTCCTCCAAACCACTAAGAGTGATCTGCACTCAAGACTCTTGTAAATCAGCCTCCCTTAAATACCTTCGCTGCCATTTTCTGAAGGGTTCAAAGGTGATAGAATGTGATGGGCAGGTCAGATTCCCTTTCCATCTCCCATCTCTCCTTCCTCCCCCGCCCCTCCACTGGAATGTCTTGCTAACATCTACAGCAAAGTGACAAATCTCATTCAGCCAGGTAGGGAAAGGAAGACTGTCCTGAATTAATGCGTTCCCAGTTTCTGCAATTCAATGTCCAAACCTCACTCTCTCTGTAACTCAATTGCTCAATGCTTCATCTCTGACGCACAAGCAATAATATTGAGTGGTAAACGTTATTGGAGTTTGCACTTCTCTCATGCAAGCATTCCGCATGTTCACCTTTGCCAGATTTTACTGGATTGCCTGCTTCACCGTCAGGTGAACAAATTGGGTGGAAGAACGCATTTTGTCTGTTTTATAATAATAATAAAAAGTTGCATTTTATGGGTGCTTCAAAGCGCTTCATACTATTTACTGCAAAGTGTGCTGACTGGTCATTTTGTAGGCAACTTCAGAAACAGAGCAGACGGGTTCAGGTTTGATTGCCAATCTTTGCTGTAAGCAACTTTCAGACAGGCAGAAGTTGCATAAAGTTACATAGAACTGTATAGCCTGGAAACTGGCCATTGTGTCCAATTTGTCCGTGTCAGTGTTTATTGTCCTCCTCCCCTTCTGACTCCAACTACCAGCTCTGGTCCGAAATCCCCGATTGTCCAGCACCTTGGGACGTGTTTCCGACGTGAAGGGCGCTATACAAGTATAATTTATTGTTGTTGTTGTATACTCCACTTGAGCCTTCCACCTCTCTGAAGCCCCTCGCTCATAGCCCTCTATTCTATTCTCCACCACGGTGAAGCGCTCTGGGACTCTACCCCATGTGAAAGGCTTTTATATAAATGCAAGCTGTTGTGGTTCTTCTTGTTTTCCCTCAAAGCCATAGTTAGGAACGATACAAATGGCCTTAATGCTCCCAGGAAGGAAAAACAAATTTGTGGGACAGTAGGGGAACATTGTCAAGAAGGTTCTGCGATAAACACATATTTCATCACGAGAACCTTTTTTAAGAAATGTGATTAAAATATCCCATAAAAACCATACAGAAGACACAGATACTCTTCATCTTGTACTATCACACTAGGCATCAACAAGTCTCATTTTCCAACCAAAACCACACACAAAATCCGCAATGAGGACAATGATAATAATTCTTGCAATTGATATAGCGTCTTATCACACGTTGTTGAGACATCTCAAAGAGCTTCACAGAACATTTTTTTTGCTATTATAACTATGTTATCCACAACACACTGAAGAAATGGGAGAATGATTCCAATACAGTTTATGCTGAGGCACATTGAAGTTCTCAGTGGCATTCGATTCGGTCAAACCTTGGAAATCCACTGCACTCTAATGCTGTATAGAATAAAAGCTTAATTCCATTAGCAGTGAATAATAAACTGAACCGTAACACTGACTTAAAGCACCACTGTTCTGCACGGCTTCCAATGCCTTACTCTGTATGTCTTTGCTTTGTCTTTGTTCAGCAGATTTAAAGTGTTTAAATGAAGTGTCACTTTCCTTCCAGGGAGTGTGATTCAAAGAGCAGTCAATGATAGCCGTGGATTCCATAGCAAAAATCTACTCTCTTTTTGTTGAAAATTCCAGCAGAGCAAAAGGCAAGGAAATTTGAAGCGCACAAGTTTATTGCTGCAATAGTCTCCCAGAGAAACAACAGTGAGTCAATGACATGCAAAGTACAGTCACTACACTCTACACTATATCCGGTGAAGCATATCCCGGCGTGAAAGGCGTGTTGTCAAATGCAAGGCTTAATTATTATATGTTGAAAGGCATACAGTATAATGTTTCATTATTTTGTTCTTTCTTGTACAATTTTCTTTCCTCGCGGTCTGCACCCGAGTTGGGGAATCCAGCAAGCAGAGCGGATGTGGATGAGGGTCTTGGCTGCCCAAGGGGAGAGGTAGTACAGCAATAATGAAACTTAAATTAAATAAATAAAATAACATAAATAATAAATTGCTCACTCAATCCGCGACTGTTGGTCGGACACTCCTGTGCGCAATTGGCTGCCGCGTTTCGCCCACAAAATATACAGTCAATTCACTTTGTCTCAAAGACGTGTTAAGGCGCTTTATCAAATGCAAGGATTATTGTTATGCATTATAACTCTAAGTGTGATCGTCCTGTTCTGAGCTGTTATCGGTCTGAGTGACCTGGAACACACAACCTTTCGTCATGATTTCCAATGACACCCGCCTTGCTGCTGGCACTGATACACCTCAATCAGCACCAGTTTCTCTATACTTGCAGGTGCAGGAACAAACCGCCCGCACTCTCCATTCATCTTTGTTAAACCTTGACTGATACTCCACCCAGCACATCTTTAATCGAAACGCTTCTTTGTTATCACATTTGAATGTTTTTGCCGAAGCACGTTGGCTACTGACAACTGTAAGGTGTGGTGACACCTCTTGGAGTGAATGAGGAACTGGGTTTTCAGGACTGGGGTTCCTCTGAACACATCTAACAACCTCTCCGACCTTATACTGAAGAATGTCTCAAACGCATTCTGACATGCCTTATTGACAGGACAGGGTAACACTCATCAAAAACACTTTTCTTTCTGGCCTGGAATGCCAACCCATTTTTTTTTTAATTCTGCAACTTTCTGTGTGATATGAAAACTGTAGCAATGGTATCTTTCGCCTGCTTTGTGTGACTAGAGAAATGGGTAGAAAAACTAGTCTGTAAAAGCCTGACAATCTTTCCTTATCAAAGCACCACAAATAAACTGTTTATCTCCATGCTACGTAAATGCAAGTTGTTGTTGTTTAAACAGATTTCTGATTAAACCTACTATTGTTATAATAATCCTTGCATTTGATATGGCACCTTATCACGACATCGAGATGTCTCAAAACACTGTGTATTTGTAGGCAAACATGGCAGCCAACTTGCGTACAGCAATCAAGTGATTGACAAATTTTATCTGGGGAAATTGTTGGCCAGGACACAGAGTTCAATATCACATTTAGTGGCATTGCGTTTGAATCCAATCTGCAGTTATAAGGGTGTGTTTTTCTACAGAGATAGAAAACTTGTAACAATTATGAACAGGGCGAGTTTACATTCCAACACGGAGTCAATCCCAGTTATGAAAGAGGAGGCACTCAAATTCCAAGCAGTGTAGATACAGAATTATCACAGATACTATCCAAATAAATATTTGATAAAGCAAACAGGCTGGTTTATCTTACCCATTCTGTCTAATTACTAGAAGTTACAACGTAATAATGTTTTCCATCACGCAATTAATTAAGCAATCGCAACATAGAAAGGTTTGGCAAGCTATGTATGCACTGCCTGATGAGCTGTTGAGTCATCCAAGGACCCAGGTTCAATCTTTGCACTGGGTTGAGTTTTCATCCTTGCATTTGATAGAGCACCGAAGCATTAAAAGCACTTTACAGAAAATGTTTTTCTTTGAAGTATAGTGACTGTGCATTAGTAAGTGAACCCATCAGCCAATTGCACAGCCATGTCACACAAACAGCAGATGAAACAGATGACCAATTTTATCTGGGGATTGTTGGCCAGGACAGGGTGGGCCATCAGGGACAGGACCCTGATGTGGGTCTTTTTAAACTGTTGTAACAATGCCTCGTATGTTCTATATAGGGATTGAATAGAAGTGAAATTCGGGCGGCAGAAACCTTCCTAGAGAATATGGTCTCACGTTTAATTGCGTAACGGCAAAGTCAATCTTAAGTATTAACTAACATTTAGTAGCAATAAATAAATGCAATCACATTTTATTCATTGACCAACAATGCACTTACTTTAGTTACACAGCGGGTAGTTGAAAGAGCACATTGATGACATGAGCATTTTAACCAAATTACCAACCACTTATACCTCTAGTTTGGAAAGTGAGTTCACATTCTGTGATTCATTGAAATGTACTTAAAAGTGTGACCATATTAATGGAGTTTTAGAATTAGCTACTTATACATAGACCCTCCAGAATGTGCCTTATTGAGTGTTCAATGATCCATCGAGTTAACACAAATAGAGGTCACTGGTAATGCTGATCGGCAAGGAAACACGATTTGCTATTGCACCAAAGTTTTGCTTCTGCTGCCCTCTGGTGTGTGAAACCATTAGAGTAATCAGCCAATATGAGGCCAGTCTCAATTTGTCATGTTCTGCTCCCAAAGAACTTCAAGGCAGCGTAAAGTGCTTTGCTTTGCAAAATTGGAACAGTGAAACTGTCTGGTGCTGGATATTTTGGTTTCAACCACTGGTTTGGTTTCTTGTCTTTCCTTTCCTTGATATCTCTTTTTGAATAAAGCCTCTAAATATATGTAAAAACTATTGCCTCTGTTGGAAATATTAGTATGGATTTTATATATTATATTGAGTGTTGTTTTCCGATGTTTCTATGTTGAATTTGGAAAATGCAAAGAGGTGCAAAATAATTTTCAGGCCCAATATTTATTGCTTCTAAAGTAAGTTAAAAAAATTGGTAACATTAGGAGTGGATTAATTCACTAAGTTAATTCCAGACAGAAGGCCTTCAGGGTGGTTTATTTAAACTTTTCTGCAATGGAAAATGGAGCTAAGCAAAGAATAATTGGAAAACTATTGTCACGCCAACTATGCAAAACTTTCCAGGCCAAAGACACAATACTGGCATCCTCTGGCAGTGTTGAGTGACTTTTCGACAGTTTTATGTATCTGCCAACACTTCATCTTGGTAGTTTAAAAACTGACTGAAAACTGAAGGTTTAAGGTCCCCTGTTGCTATAGAAAGTCAAAAGCTCCAGATTTCAAGGTGCAAATGAAACCCATTCTTGATTAGCAGGTTTTCCAAACACAGAAATCAGACATCGACCCAGGACATTAAAAGTATCACTTTACCCACAAAAGGTTTTGAAATAGTTAAAATAGTTTTATTTATGTCAAACTCAGTAACTTGATCAAAACCTTTTGTGAGTTTCGACTCTTAAGACATCAATAAAGTCATTGTGAGGAAAGCCACAGATCTGTTTTTTATTGGCTTTGATGTTTATCTTGTAACCAATATTAATGCTTTATACAAACCAGCGACCATAAACAAGGTACATAATCACTACAAATACAAGCAAATGCGGATGGTAACATTTTATTTGTAGCAAATGGCATCTTACAGCTTAGTATACCTGGAGGTAGCTTCAGTGTTTATAAAACATTAAATCTTCACCCATCCCAATGTTTTGCAAGACAGAAAGAAACAAATGTAGTGAGGTGTAGTACAGACATCTATGTACAATTATTCAGATCTGTATCTTCATGGTACAAGGAATCACATTCAGACATTTGCAGAGATATACAAGATTACAGGTTTGATTGTCACTCAATTGTGTGCACTTAATCTGAGCATCATTAGATATTGCTATTGAACAATAAAAAATAATCTTAGTAAATATTTTTTGTACATGATAAAAGTCATTATGCCATCCAGATTAAGAGCATCAGAATAATACTGGATAACTTCTATATTTAAATCAAATATTGAAAGTAGAATTTGTTTTGTGTAACTAGTGAACGCACTAAGGCAAGAGTTATCCTTAGGTCACATCGTCAGAAAAGATTAGACTAGTATTCCAGGCAGGAAACAATCAATGTGCAAGTTATACATCAAAGCAAGATATATTCAACAGCTATAAGTGAGAACAATATAGATATGTTTTAAGGAAAGTTAACTGCCCAAATGTTCATAACTATGTTCTGATTTGTAAAAAGTATCAAAATTTTACTTGCATAAAAAGTGTAAGAAAAATCATTTCTGTTAAACATCTCAACCATACCAGATTGTTTGTATTAAAAGGATGCGGGTATATAAAAAGGACATTGAACTCACTGGGCCAATTTATTGTTGGCAGTTTAAATAATAAACAGTCTTTGTCGTTTAAATTTATTTACAACCTTTACATGGTTAACTTCCAGCTGCTTTGTTATTCGCCGTGTTTAGTTTTTGAAAAGCAAAAGTACTTAGGAACCCCCTTCAATCGAGTGAGTAGTAAAGCATCACCTTTGTTTAATTATCTTGAGGATTCCAAATACATAAAGCCCGGAATGATATCCTCTGGGCAGCAGTGAAACAGCATTAAGGTATTAAAACATTAAAAGACACAATGGTGACTTCTTTCAGAAAGCACCTAGTTGTTTCCGCCCCCCACCCCTCCCATCACATTGCTTCTTCCCTTTATCTTAGAACCGTTAGCTGTTTCAGCCTACAGGTGGCTTTCCTTTGACTGATTCAACCCACTGTCAAACATACTCTCTTCATCGGTACTGTAGTCATTTTCCAAATCGTTTAGAAGGGAGGTTTGAGCCTTTGCTGGTAAATTCTTACGTCTGTTGAGAAAACGGGTGGAATGAGAAATGATTTTTGTATGGATAACATTTCAGCATGGACAAAATAGCAAATATACCTGAGGGAGGGAGAAGGGAACAAGAGTCGTGTGGGCTTGCGTGCACTGCAAGCACAGGTCCAGACTGGTTGGGCTAATGCAAACTACATGACCTTTTTGCTGGGGGGTTGGACCTCTTGGAAATGCTGCGCTCTTGGCACAAGTCTGAATATTTGCCAGTATTAACGCGATGACATTTAGTTTGCTGAGTAAACTAAACGGTTGCATGAAATCCAATAAAATGCAATTATGTGAGCTTCCCCGATGACCCAATGGTTAAGACACCACCTTTTTCGGGACTTATTCTTTATTATAGAAAATACAATTATTCCCGTTAATCCACACCCGGTGGGCTTCTGGTGCTCTGAAATAGTCTTAACTCATCCGTACCTGAGCTCTTTCTTTAAAGTATTCATTTGTCCTTGAAGTTCTTCGTTGGCTTCTCTTTGTTCCTCTAGCTCTCTCTGCAGCTTTTTCTTTGTGTTTTCCATGCGGTCTATTTCTTCCTCTGCTTCATCCACTTGCCTTTTCAGCGCCTTCAATCGCAGACTCAACTAGAAAGTTAGCGAGAGATTAGAAAATGCCACAACTTCTTGCCAATCTACGAAGTCGCTGTATCTGCCGGAGTGAGGGCTTTTATCTATCATTACAAAATGATACGTAACACAACCCCTCCAGCATTCGGTACCCAACCACCCGCCCCCCACTCACCCACCCACCCAAAGTACCTGATCTTTTTGGTCCGTCAGATGAAGATGTTCGTCATCTATTTGCATCATTAGGTCCTTGACCTTTCTTTCAAGCTTGCGATTGGCCAATTGTAGACTTGCCCTTTCCCTGGTTGGGGAGGAGGAGGGATGATTGCAGAAAGATATCGCGAAAATGATTGTACGGTAACAAAGCCAGTAAATGCTAGGAGTGGCAGGATTTATTACTCTATTAATATTGTACAACTAAACACAAATTCAATTTAAAAATTAAACCCTGACCTGCTTGCACTCACCCCGCCCCCTCCCACCACCCCCTTTCTCTCTGTCCGATATTTAGGTTTCTAAGATTAATTTTACTTTACTTCTACCTCACGCATCTCTTCTCTTTTTTTTTAAACCTACGTTTTGAAGGTGGGATTACCTTCCATTAAAAGCATTAACTGGCTGAAAACCCACTCCAAACTTTACATCCAATTGAAAACCAATACACTGATGATTGGCAAGGTCATGGCATGCCAAACACATGACAAGGTCTAGCTGCAAAATGGACAAATGCATCAAAACCAAAATCAAAATGCATCAGCTGTTGTCAGTACACGAGCCGGAGCAGACTTCTTTCAGGACCCACGGGAGGCTGCACTCGCTCATGTACGTACATGCATTTGTCCGTGGCATGCAAAGAGTTAAATCTGCAAACAGTTGAACCTAATCAACAATTTATTACTGGAAGAAAACAACGGCTGCACGAGGCATGGTATAATTAGTCAGTACTGTCACCTGGGCACACAGTAAGAATTTGTATCTTTAGCCATCCATACCGTATCAGTCTTTATTTATGTTATTATATTTAAATTACTGGTTATAATGCATTGTGTCTCAATTACCCATTAAATTGGGTCTCTATTATTATGACACCAATTTAATACACATGAATTGGTGTTATTATACGGCAAGGGATAGCTAGATTTTAGCCTCAAAATTCTCTGTAATAGGTTACCTTTGGTTTCCCTTTTCTCTTTCAAAATGACTTCATGGGCTTTGGACAAGGGTATTAACCCGTCTTGCTAGGTTTTCTGGAAGATTTAACTAAACTTGAAAATCTTTAAACTATTCCCAGAACTGCATAGGTTATGCAAATATAATTACCTCTTAAGTACTCGGAAGCAGTTTTGTTTAGAATAAATCTACACTACACATCACGTTAATTCTACACCATGCAAGGAATATTCTACATTAAGCATCTATAACGGCTTTACCCTTGAGTACTCAGCTGGAAAAGAGACCCCAGTGCTTACATTTTTTTTTCTCTCTCTCTCACCAATATTTCACTTCATCTGATTCACTAATTCTCCATTGTAGAACAAGTTGAGAATTAATTCCTTTTTTTTGTTATCACGCATGTGTGATGTAGAACAATGGATTCCTTTCATAGAAAAGGAATTTATCTAATTGAGGGGTTCAAACGATGATTCACAATATTAAGGCTTGAAGCCTTAATAACTGGTCATCTGAAACTGGAGAATAGATTAGAGGGTTTAATACTGATGGGCACAGCCTGCGCTGACATACACAAATACAGCTTTATTTGGGTGGGGGGGGGGGGTTGTTCAGGAGTTTTTTTTGTTCTGGAAAATAGCCTTGTTACTCCTGCAAGTTTATTGAGAAGTACTGAATACTGAGGAACGATCAGTCCAAAATATATTTTCATAATTTAGCATACAATGAACAGCAAAACAAACGTTTGCATAATCTATTCTCCATTACATTTTATGCATTACTAGATAGATAATGTATTATATTAGCAGAGTAAGTGAACGATCTACAATTTATTATACTTGAGAAAGCTTTTACAACCTTCTCATGAATTAAATCGTGCATTCCAGCTAACTGTTGAGTTTTGTTTTCATGCACATTGTTTTATTATCTTGTTCTCTCAAAGTAACCTCACCTGCATTTATCAAAATGATTTGGGAGCACACTTTGAAAATATTGTATATTTAATTGAAACAGCACACGATCTTGGACTAACCTGATATTTAAGAAAAATAAAATCTCACCTGTCTTCATCTTCAAGACGTTCTTCCAGCTCCTGGATTCTACCCTCCAGCTGAGTTACAATTCCCTCCTTGCTCTGTTTCTGAGATCCTTCCAGATAGAAAATCCTACTCTTTATGTCCTTGTTCTAAAGAGTGCGAGAATTTTTTTTTCCACATTGTCATTTCAAAAGCCATACACCCACCGCTGACAAATTCTCATGCCGAAGCTAAAGATTGTAATCTGCCTGAGCTCCAGACAGTCCTTAAATTTCACTCTGCGTTTGAATTAAAAATTGCTCTTCAACTGCGAAGAGCCACATTTAGCGCAAACTCTTGAATCTTATACACTCAATGAAAACCGCGCCTCATCATGTCTCAGCAATTTTCACAAGCTTCAACACATGCACAATCTCACAGATTGTTTTCCAAAGAATATCAGAAACTTTCTGATAACTTGAGCATAATTCTGCACCACTATGTCAGAGCTTTGTATATATTTTTGCTAAAAGCCAGCAATTACAACAACAGTTCTCAGTTTATAAACAAGTTTAACAACCAACATTTCAATAAATTTTGCCGGCGAGTTTAAAATGTCTATTCGAAATTATTGCATTCAAGAATAATTTTAAGTACTCTTTTTGCTTCGGGGAATTGTTACGACTTGCAGTCATCGACATTCTAAGCACACATTTGAGCAATAACCCATTTTGAATATGGTTATCATTAGAGCGGCCTTCATTTAAAAAGGTTAACATCGGTGCCTGTTCACTATTTAGCTGCCCTTTGATGAGAATGCACATATGTGCATTAGTGCATGCCAGGAAAGGGCTGGGTCAGGCTTGGCTGTGATGGCCAGTTTATTTAAACTGCCTGCTGACAAAGACTTTCCAGGTTGAAATATTGGGAAATTTCCATGCGTAGTTGGTTGGTGCGATTGTGGAACTCAGTCTGGTTTGCATCCTGAGTTGGGAGTCCACATGTGCCAAACACCCAGCTGACCCAAAACAAATCATCGATTTTAAGAGGGGGGTGGAGAGAAAGAGACAATTAATCAGCGACAAACACGAGCAGAGAAAATAAAAGTTACTTTAGGAACCTGGATGAATTTAGTGAGACTTAAGCTATTAATTTGGTATTACAATGAGTTACAACAATGAGGTTTCTGCTGCCAGACAACAGCATGTGTAAGCAACCAGAGGCAACATCTAACTGCATGATTTGAACGAGGTTACCCTAAATCACTGAGCAAAATCTACCATAGAATTTAATCATCAATGGGCAGAACTGTAACAGTACCTGTCTCTCTAATGAAATCTTGTCACACTCCAGATCTTGTCTCGCAGCTCTTTCCTGGAGAAGTTCATTTCGCATCTGCTCAATCTGTGGTTGAAAAGAGTCAGATCATTACATATCGCTCTCATTACCTAAGGTCCTGGAACTGAAAGTAATTCCGAAACAATGATATAGAAGATCGAGGAGGAACTGGATAAAGAAAAGTGTTTCTCTGATGATGCTTGGAGCGTTTGGTGCAAAGCAGATGCCAATTTTATCTGTCCTGGACACGTGGTGGAAATCATCCCTTTTCTTCTTTGACCGGCCACCTAGGCACATGGGTAGTGTTGAATGATTAATCTTTCCTGGGCTGGAAACCTGACCTATGTGAACAATGTGTGGAGAACTGACTTGGGCCTTCACGCTTGTTCAGCAAAGTAACATTTTTTAATGTTACTGTGAGAAACAGCCTTCTGCTCCACTTGATGCAATAACACACCCTTGTAATGTTGTCACTCTGCACTGATGAGATCAACCCTCACCCAAGGCATACTCCAAGTTCATGTGCCTTGGGACGTCCTCTCACAAATGTAATTTTGTACTGTATTGTATGAAACTCAGTCACAACACAACACAGTATATCCCGCTAAACTCTTTGAGATGCTAAACCCAACATGAAAGGCACTATGTCAAATGCAAGGATTATCTATCACTGAATGTTATTGTTATTATTTTAAAGCTGAGCAGGAAGCCCTCCGTGAGCCGTTAACTGAGACAAAACACATTGAAAAACATACAACACCGAAATCATCAATCACAGAGAACTCCCTTAAAGCGATCCAAAGCAATATTGGACCCACAGGTCAATGGGCATCATAAATTAAAATAATTGAGTGTCAAAACTGTCATAATAATCAAACACCAGATGAACTGCTATTGTAATTATCTCTTTATTACAATATAAAGAAAGCAAAGTCCAACGCTCTAGTTTTCAGCCGTGCACACCTGAGCCATTTCATCCCACAAGAATGGAACACGTTCCACGATCTGAAGGTCACGTCAGTTGTTAGGATTTGAATGTTCGCAATTACTTCCTTCCTTGCATAAACTGATTAGTTCTCCTCTTGAGCTTATTTATTTCTGCTCCACCACTGTACAACCACTGTGCTGGTAAATGCTACAGGGATCTGACTCAGCACAATGGAACAAGCTTAAACCAGGCAAAGCTAATGACATTTTTCTTGTGCTCGGGCAAGTGGGAGCTCATTTCCACACTCTAATTTAGCCGCCTGGAGCACCTGGAGCTGGTAGTGGAGCAGGTGCACAGTGATCACCAGGGACAGCGACCGTCAACTGCAAAACAATCTCATCCTCCTATTTACTTCACTGCCCTGGTAACGTCCTTGTATCCCGTAGCATTGAGAATGCAGCGTAAAGTGTAGCTTCATTTTTCTCACATCGGTTAACGAAAGATGGGGATGAGCCAGTGGTGCCATGAAAGGGTTAGAACTGGGGTACGGGAGGTGGGTGGGGGAAGGGGGAGGAAGAGGATGAATATAAGGTTTCTTCCATTCCTCTAAACTGCAAGGGAGTGAGTATGAATATGTGCAGGGGTTAGAGAAAAGCATGCAGACCAGAGTATGAGAGTGTGTGCAAGTGGCGCAGTCCTGTACATGAGTGAGGGCGAAAGCAAATGAGATGATTTAGGCCCAACAACAGAACAAGACCTTGTGTTTATATGGCACACTTCAAGCAGGATAAACTCTTCAGAGGGCTTTTTAGTAACAAGGTCGGACGCCAAGTGAGGGGAGAGGGAACCGTCAAGAAGCTATGTTTCAAAGCGGAACTTAAAGACAGATAAAGAGAGCGTCAGATGGTGAGTACCAGAGGTTAAGGGCATCTGAAGGTTCGAACTTTGTTGCAGTTACGGAGATTTAGTCTCCCTGAATAAGCGCTCTTTAGTTAAATTTACGTAGGGTAAAAAACATTACCCAGTAAAGGGTGCTATATAAATGCAAGTTGTTGTTGAATAGTGCCATGGATCTTTAATGTCCATCTGAATGGGACCTCAAGTAAAATTGTTCTCCTGAAGGAAAGCACCTCCGCCAATGCAGCACTCCCCCAACATTCTCTTGGAGCGACAGTCTAGAGACGGAGAACTCAAAGTCCCGACTTGCAGGTTGAATCCACAAGAGACTGGGGCAAGAGGGCTACCAACTGAGCCAGACTGACACCTACAATTACACCTACAAGCTTTCAAATGTTAGTAAATCTAATTTAAGCAAAAGGTGTGCTCACAACTCTCTGCAATGCCACTAATTTCCTTCGGGGAGCGCTGCTGGGCTGTCGCATCACCCCAAAATAGTTAATTCTGTTCATCAAAGTTTTTTCAAAGAAATCTTTTTTTAAAAAAATAACCACCACAGGCACTAGCCAACTACACTTCAATGGAATTTAGCTGATAGAAGAAAACACTTCAAAATGACCGAGATAATCCTTTCCTTCTCTCCTTTCTGTAGACAATCACGCTCATGTCCAAGAGCATCAAGCAGGTGAACCAAGGACTATGCTTCACATGCAAGCCTGGACAGTAAGGGTTAGCTGCTTATTCAACTGTGGAGCATCATGGATGAGCTTGATATGCGTGAGCGCACACATTCGCGCGCTCAGGGATTACTGTATATCAGTAGCAGGAATCCCAATTGATCTTTCCTTCCCCTCCTCCCTAGTCCTGGGATGCTAAGGCCGTAGGTACCACTGTTTTAACGAAGAGCGATAAATGCAACACAGAGCTGTGATCAAACCAAGAAGGGTTTTCCAAAATGTTATCAGTATTGATCAAGCTATTTATCATTAAAAAAAAAGTTTTTCCTACCAATGTACGAGGTTCTTGGCTTGTCATTTGAGCTCTCTGAAAGATAATGAAAGAGCTCACCTTGCTATTCATTTATTACGCTATCAGAAGGTCCAAGACATTTTTGAAAGAAGAATGCAGTGGAGTTCCGGTAGAATTCACTTTCAGTTTTGCACAAAGCAATAACAAATTGTTCAGTCCAATACAATAGCCTTTTCATCGTGAATGCGTTTGCAATAAACTGATAGAAGAACACGTCAGACACTTATGCGATGGACTGCAACTGTGACAGTGGGTGAAATTAGGCTGATTGTTTACACTCTATGGACTGGACTTTTGGGATGGTTGCCAGTCTCACCTTTATTTTATGATCCACAATGAAACCCACTTCTTAAGAGATAAGCTTGCAGTGCAAAAGATAATTTAAAAAAAAACTTATGTAGTTTCCTGTAATGTCATTTTATTTTCTGCTGATTTTGAGGATCCTGTCAACAACATCCCTCCTCCACACTCGCCATGAGAATGGGCAGTGTAACTCGCCTCTTTACCCCTACACTGCTCCACAAACGAACTTGCATGCCCATCAGGACAAGTGCATTGTGAACAAATTAAATTAGAAAGGATATTTTAAATGCCAGATTTTGGCAGGAGGGGAGCAAATTAAACATTAAAATTATCCAAAAATGCGAATTATGAAAAAAAATCCTCATGATAATCTCCAGATTTAAAACCTTCTGGTTGTTTGGAGGTGAAAAGGACTCTTAATCGCTTGCCAGAAAGATCAAATGACAGAAACATGATGTGAGATTTTGCAGCTCAAGCGTGTTTTCCTTCCAATGTTTGGCAGCTGACCAAATGCAACATTTTTTTGTAATGATGAGTGAAATCAGCTGGAACGGGGGCTGACTGTGTATTAAATACAAATTGTACTTTTGGTTAAAAACAACAAGTCGCAATTTGACCATTCCACGAGAATGAAAGCGATCTGTCGGACTTCAGCATAACACAAAAGATTTCTAATACATCAGGTTGAGCACGACTTTATTATAGGTAGCATTGATGAGCCAATATGTTGCCTACAAAATGCACAGTCATTCCACTTTACAATAAATCCTGTGAAGAGCTTCAGACCCCACCCACACGCCATGTGAAACGCACTGTACCGAACCAAGGATTATTATTTATCACTATTATTATTTTCAGATTTACGCCTCTCTCGACGCAACCAGTGAAAGTGAGGAACGCTGGTGAAATGCAATAACCTTAAATTTTCAGCTTAAAGTTCCGTTAACTGCTGGGCCACTGTGCAAGCTGAAATCGATACGACAGCAATGACAACCACTTTCTTTATCATTTCACATTACTTTAGACCGTCTCTATTCAAGCACGTGTAACCAGTCATTAGTGGGGTGGGGAGTTAACAAATAACAGCAAAAGGGAGCTTGAGTATAGTATGAAAGCGAGATGATGGTAATTAAAAAAATAAACCACCAAATAATTCTAAATCCTGAGCAAATTGTTCATATGATTTTCCACTTGCAATGACTCGCAAAACTGAGCAAGGCAAAAAATGCTGAGCTACAACACCACGCTGGAGTGAAGAAGATACCACAGTACAATAACTACTTATAATTATCAAACATTGAGTAGCAGTTTCAACAAAGTGTCCATTCCATTGTGTGGTGGGTAGTTGGTCAGTTACCTGTTCTCTGCCTTTACTGATGCGGTCAATGAGAAGGTCTGAGTTGCTTCTCTCCTCATCGAGCTCCATCTCCATCTCCGCCAATTTATCCTGAAAACGTTAATCAGGTTGAGTTGAGAGAAAACGTCTCTGAATAACTTCCCAGAACATCTTAAACCCGCTCCTTGCTGAGGTACAGGTACAACGCCTCACTCATCAATAACGCTTCACAGCATACGAACAGGCAAAGATAAAAGTTTTATCGCTATAAATCTATTGGAGAACTGAAGAACTACTGTATTAGAGAAGCTTATTCCTAACTTATCAACAAAATCAGCAATTAAAGCATGTGTTGAACAGGCAATAGAAGCTTCTCTTATTCACCAATTTCTATAAGATACATGGGCAGCATCCGACTAGATTTGCTGCTTTTCATTATATTCTGTTTGTTGGTGCTCTTCAGTCGAACTGTTAAAATGGTCTCAGAAGTATGATTAAAAACATTTTCGCAACAGGATTTCAACATCAATACATGCTCAGTGTTTGTAAACTGCCATTAGCAAATACAATAAACACCAATATTTAACCAACGTTAGAAGATTTATTTTTAACATGAAAGAAATGGTGCATGTGATACTAGAAGTCATTGCCCACACATGCAGACCAACTGGACTGTGTTGATTAGTGAAGTACACAGAGATTCAATCTAGTTTAGCACCAAATGTCGCATTCAAAGTTAGTTTCCAGATGTGGAAAGCCTAGTGAAATTCGATGAAGAGAGAGTAGCTAATTTTAATTGCCGTTGCAAATGTTACCTCCATCTGTTTGACCTGCCGTGATCGATCTTCTTTGAAAAGCTTTTTACTTTCAAGGTCAAGCTCTAGTTCATTCACTGTCTGTTGCAAGTTTAAGCTCTTCTCAACTACTTCATCTCGCTCACAGCGAACGTCCATCAACTCATTCTCCAACTGGTGCATCTGATCCAGAAAAACAATATTCCCACCCCATCAGTATCAGAGCGCTCAGTCACACAGTACACTTATTTGCTCATTGAAACTGATTCAAAGATTTTGACTGTCTTTTCACGAATAGAATTAAAAATAACAATTTCTGCACATATATATTATAGATATATATATATAGGGCTTTGTATATAAATATTTAACATGAATACACACAAACTATACATTGAGTGGAACGGGAGCGAATTTGCATCCAAAATTCCTCATATCCTAAGTATTCCTGAGAGGTGAAAATGGAATGAATACTGGGTATTTTGCCATGACAAGGAGAACAGTCAGGTGACAGACCCACAAGTGCTCTCATCCAAAAGAAAACTGTGTCACAGGTGTGGAAGTCATCTTTCTGCTCTATTTACTGAGACATTACAGGGTGGGGAGAAAAACACATTGATTTACTATCTTGGGGTCCAGCCAATTTAAAAAAAATCCAAATTGATAAAATTCATCATTCACTTCATGGCTATTTGTGGGATATTCCTCATTGCACCTAAAAATACACAGTCACTATACGTTATAATAGAACCATAGAGATTTACAACACAGAAGGTGGCCCTTTAGCCCATTGTGTCTGTGCTGGTTCTTTTGAAAAGCAATCCTTTCCTTCTTCCCATTTACCTGGCTTTTCCCACAACGCCCCTATAGCTTACTCTTAATATGCATATAACCCATGAAGTTGCCTGAGACGTTTCAATGATGTGATGAGGTGCTATATCAAATGCAACGATTATTACTGCGTTGTTATCAATGAACAGGAATCCGAAGGTGATCATTATCAGTCCGGCACGTAGTTCCCACTTTTAACCAATAGATGGTGACAGTACGACAAGCACTTACACTAGGATTCCCATCGATACCGATCAACTCCTATACCCAGCACAAAAGCACCATGACCTCCAGAAATTCTCTCTGATTAAATTAATGGCATTCACCGAAATATCAAAGTGCGCCTTAAGTCTTGAGCCGTTAAGCACTGAAGGTTTACTGAACAGTCACTCGTTTCTGTGCAGTGCACGGCAGGGTGGAGGGGATAGGGCAGCAGGAGTAATCAGAGCCAACATCCAGATTAAAAGGGACGAATTCATAAACTTGGCTCGGATGAAGAAGGCCCCTTAGCCACACACAATCCCATCGCGCTCTCTCTCTCTCTCTCTCCCCACCCCACCACCACCTCCGAAACATCCACTCTGCCGTTCTCCCATCACAGCAACAAACTGTTTTTTTAAAAAATCCTCACAAGCAATGCAGCTGGTGGGCCAGAAAGAGGCAAGACCACATGAAAGTCTAATCAAAACATCACTATCTGATGACCTCTTTAGAGCTCAGTAACTCCCATTGCTCCACAACCCTTTGCCCTAATCAGAAAGTATGGTTTCCTATCTCGTTGATTAGAACCATGAACACCTCGGCTGAATAGCCTGGTACACTTTTTTGGGGGCAGTCGGGTGTCTGTCACATGCAGAAATCCATCTCCGCGCTTAAGAGTATCCAAACCAATCTGAGAATTCCATGCATCCCACCTACACATGGCAATCCCAGAGATAAGATTGTCGGAATGGAATGCGCACTCTCTCCCGGGAGGGACACATTCCAATGCCTTGGGATGTCCTCCTGACGTGAAAGGCTCTATGTAAATGTAATTTGTTGTCCCTAGTTCCAGAAAATTATTAGGCACAGGTCGGCAAGAGCCGAGGCTTGAGGATTGCAGACTGTGATTTGGGGCAACTGCTGGAGTCTAATCAGCTAAAACTTTGTAAGTTGCCATTGAGAGCACTGTCTGGCGAGCTTTCCATGAACTGGGTCACACAGGAAGAATGACTGCTTGGGTGAGGGACTGGAGGGCAGCCCACACCCACTGACCTGCACGAGTCATCGGCTTCTGGAGAGGAAGCGAGAAAAACAGAAGGAAACAAAAGGGTTTTCCCTTCGGCCAGCGCTTGCTATAGAGCCTGACACTGAAAATGGCTGCTGAACTCAGTGCATCATCATCTCTTGTCATGTTCAACAAACAAATAAACAAACAAACAAATAACAACAACTTGCATTTATATAGCGCCCTTCATATGGGATAGAACCTCGGGAGTGCTTTATCCTTGTCCCTTTACCCAAAAGAAGTGCACAAAGGCCAAAGATATCCAGGGGAATTCTGTGTATATGCTAAAAAACTGAAACTAGGAACCCTAAGTTCTCGTACAAATTACACAGTCGCTACACTTTAGGTCTTCCTGATATGAAATGTGCCACATCAAACGCAGCAATCATTATTGTTTATGAGTACATTGCAAAATTAATGTTAGCGCTTAAATCTGTCAAGACTCAAGGGCAATGCTCTGGAAAGCAATGCTTTGCATTTCCTTTAACAGTTCCTCTCAGCAATCAATACTGTTTTCGATGGTAAACGGCTGGGCAGCTTTGCGGATTGAATCTTATGCTAAACGTTTAAATGTGTGCGTCCACGCCTTAGAAGGCACTTCCCATTTCAACCCAATGGAAGCAAACGGGTTTCTTCTTTCAGAGAAGAAAACTTTCATTGCAACCCAATATTTTTTAAAACGTTAAAAAAAGTAGTGGCCCGAAACATTTGCCGTTTCACATAGAGTGGCCCAACATATAGAAGCGGAACTAATGTTTCTCCCAAATGGAATGCTGGTAAGCCTTTCACTGAAAACTAGTTTCACAAGCACAGTCATACTGACCGTGGAAAATGAGGCACTCTGCCAAAGACCCATGCTGTTTGAACGAGTTTAGCCTGTGGGCTTTGAGCCGAAACTCAATCATGTTTTTAACTGTGCCTGATTAACTCTCGACTGTACAGAGGTTTATTTTTTCTTTAACTCTGACAACTCTGTCGACGTACAGTTACCAGCTTCCTAGGGTGCAGTGGACGCAGATCAAGCATTTAACTACAACTCCTGGCTTTTTAGTCTCGCTTCCTTCCCCCCTCCCAACCCCCCCCACCATTCACAACACCAGTTGGGGGATTAATTGGGCTAACTTTTCTGATGTGACCATGTCAATTGTCAGGCTTCTAGCGATCGATGAGCTCCAAATCGAACCTGTCAAAATTGGTTTTGAGGCAATAAAAATGAGCCCTTTTTCTTCTGCCTTTAATTCTCTCGAAAACAGACAGTGAGAGTTGTAAAAAGAACAAAGGTTAGAAACTAGGCGTAAAACTCGAAAGAAGAACGATGGGACAAGAAAGGGAACATAGAATGAAAACGGGAAGATGGGTCACTACAGGTAAATGTGTCATACTGTTGTACTGTTAATAAAAAAAATGATTGTTAGAGTTAATATTATAGTACAACACCTACTCCTGATGCTTGGAGTAGTTTTGGTACTGAAGTGTTAGTAGTTTTCCTTGTGTGCAAGATGCAAGCTAAAACGTGCAAGTCCAGTTGGCACCAGAGGTAGAAGTCTCTGCGGTTCAGTTATCGTTCAAAAGGTTAATGCATTCATCTTGGGTGTTGTTTTATCCCCCAACAAAACTACTGTATATCGTAATGCCCACTCGATACTGCAAATAGCTAGGGCACTGGTTTGGAAATGACAGCTCAATGCGAACATATTTTGGAGAACATTTTTGCATATTAAATCGTTACATAGCAGGAAGAGGGAGGGTATTTGAAGTATGGGGTGGGGGAGGAGAATTAACTATCCAAAATGCTTGTTTTATTATTTTCTATGACTAGCTAATTCAAAATCTTATCTCAAAAGGGTGGAATCGTGTACGTATATAAATGATATGTGCACGCTGTAAAAAAAACGACATTTTGATTATTTTACAGCAACATCACAGGAACGTTTGAGGAATGCGTTTGACGGACGGTGAACAGCCATGGTTCCAACTTCCAGGCGCAACAAATATTTCTAACCCTAATCCTTATCAGCTGATTACCATTCGCCTGTCTTGCGTTTGGCAAAAGGAAGTTAAACACACACACGTCGAGAGTTTGTCCCAACTTTCTACTGCACTGAAATTTCTTTTGAAAGTCCCACGGTCAAAGGTTAAGTAAATGGAGTTATCTAGAATTACCTCATCCTGCAGTTTCTTGGTTGCCTGTCGAGATTTCTCTGCCTCCAGGGTCTTATCTTTCATTTGCCGCTGCAGATCAACCACTTCCCTGCGATTCCTTTCCTTCCAGTCGTCGAGCTCTTTTTGCAGTTCAAGGGTCGACCTCTGAAAATCTCTGGTCATCTCAGAGCCCTGAGGAAATTGGTGTGGGCGTAGGGGCAAGAGCAAGGGGATTATAAAAAGACATTTCTTTAAAATGGGCTAGTAAAATCAAGGAGGAAAAGTAACCATGATGCCTCATTGCGCACTCAAATCTTTTTTCCAGAACCACCTCTGCTAATGGATATCTCTTCATTGGGTATGCACGGTTTACTGTTTCTCATTCGAATATTTAAATCCCTTACATTGATGTAATGTTGGTGCCTGTTTGATTCCTTAGCTAAAGTTGGTGGTGGTGGTGGTAGACCACATCAACCACATCCCCATAGTGGTTCAGCTTCTGTCCACCAAACAAACTGGGGACAAGTGTACACTTGAAGGACGAAACATCACCAAATGTGCTCAGTGATGACGTCACTGGCTCGCTCTACGCACATTTCTCTATTCTAACTTGCGCATTCACGCACACGACCTGCACAACTCCCAACATACACCCAGCGACGGAGAGGAGGAACCACCATTTATACCTTGGTCGGCTAATTCCAGAGTCCGAAGCTCAACGAGCCATTAGAGTGACATTCATCAATGTTAGCCAAATGGCCTGCATTGAACCGTGAAGCGCTGACATAATAGGGGCCCAACCTCTTTCTGAAGCTTCTCGATTGTCTTTTCCAATTGTCTTCTCTCGTCTTCCATCTCATTCTTCGTTTTCTTTAAGAGATCCTTCTGACCCGCCTCTGCCTTCATTCTTTCAATTAAGTCATGATATTCCTGCGATCGCTTGTTCAGGCTTCTCTGCGGTGAAAATCAGAGGGAGGTTATGCTTTTGAACCAGTTATTTGGGCTTTTTTTTTAATATTTGCGGATTTCCCACTCCTTTGAGATGAGGAACTGGATTTTCTCAACAGCTTCCTCTATTTGGCTAACACCAGTCTGTTTCATGACCCTCCACTCGATCCATCCCACCCTCAATGGGCGAGCATTCAACCATTCTGTCCCCGACTCTGGAACTACACCTTGGAGTATCTCTGGCCCACCTCTCCTTCTCCACCTTTAAAGTTCTTTTCGACCTTACTTTCAGTCACGTTCCCCCAACCCCACCCTCCTCAACTTGGGATCCTAGCCAGCTTCAACTGAAAGATCTTGAGACGTCCTTCTGATATGAAAGATGGTATATAAGTGTAAATTGCTTGTTCTCCCGGATTTCTTAATTATGCAAACCCACATTTAAGATATTCCATTTTTAAAACTGTGCGCATAATAATGGTAACAATGCAAAATCATAAAGCGTCTGAGTTCAGTTGAATACCTGGACATCTTCCAAACGATTCTCCAGCACTCGCTTGGCCATTGACATATCTTCCTTTTGGTCTCCAATTTCTCTCAAGGCAGCTTCCAACTGCTTCTTCTCAGTCTGCAAAGTAGTTATAGTTTTTAGGGCATTGAGTTTAATGACCCAGTTCCTTAATTGAAGGGGTCCCCAGTAGCTACATTGCAGTTGTGATGGCTTTAAACTGGGTGACACCAGTTAGAATTGTTCTTGAATATCACTCGTCCTCTCTTGAAGTACATTGGCAGTGTTAGTTGGGTCACCTCATGAAGGGAAGGAATCTGAGCAATAAGTGGGTAACCTGCATAACCCGGGTAACCAAGGAGAGAGATCAGTGCATGCAAAGAAACCAAATGGGACTGAACAGGACAGAACTGCTCTTTCAAGAGGGGTGAATAGTAGGGAGGGTAGGGGTAGGAGGGTGACCTATGGCTTGGTCGAAGAGGGGGGGGTCTTGATACGAGTCTTGAAGGAGATAAGGGAAGGAGCAAGGCGAAGGGAAGGTGGGATGGAATTCCAAAGAAAAACACGCAAGATATCCTCATGAAGAAACAGTTACACACCAGAATAATTTCAGTCACTCTATTTGTGTCACTCAGGTTTAATGTTTCAAAGTGTTTCTCTTCTAAAGTCCTTGATCATAGGTGCTATTATATTGCAGAAACTTTTCTAAAATGTAGTCCTGCAATGAGACTCTGGGAGGCCCAGAGCTTGGTTTCTTGATGGATCAATTACGAGTTCTCCTAAAGTGAATGCTGACCTCGGCTCACTTTTCTCCTCTAAACTTTAATCGCGATGACCTTGGCTGCTTTATTTGTATTTGTATTGCAGGGCTACCTCCCTTGTACATTTGGGAATAACCAGCCACAAAAAATCCACATGTGCAGACTAGATCGATACCCGTGCCGAGAATTCACGTGAAAGACAGATTAAAATGACAATAAATCTATTGATGAACCTGAATACCACCCTGGGGTACACCGCGAGAACAACTAAGAATAAGATCACTGGAGAGGAAAAAAATCACAGACTTCATAGCAGAAAACAGACACTGCACAGTTTATCATTGCAGACATCTCATTTACATACATTGCCCACTTCTAAGATTTATCGGGGCATTTTATGGCTATACTACTGTATGTGGCATAGCATCCATTATGTACTTAGTCACACTATTTCACAGTAACAGATGAAACTGAGCAAATAAAACACATTTAAATTGAATACAATTTTGCAGCTCGCCTCAATGGGCAGTGAGCAACATCACACACACACACACACCAGATAAGGGAGTCAGTCACACACAGAGTGCCTTGGGAGCACAAGCCTCTAATTAGATTCACGCTATTGCTCTCAAGGTGGCCTGCAGACTTCCTGATCACGCTCCACTCGCTAAGAAGGAAATTCCTCCCGGACCTTGTACTAACCATCGGTAGTGAGTTTTTAACGTTGTGATGGCTCATCCCGCTGGAGGCAACTTTAATAAGTGTTAAAACAAATTGCTCTAGTGTAATCTCTCCTCCCACACGATGTAAAACTGGCTTGTTTCATACATCTTTCTAAATCAGTGCTTTGTGCAATGTTTGACTGGTTTCTCCTGCCCTTTCTTTTTTTTCCAAAAAAAGAACAAGAGTGAAAAGTGACTCATTCTGGAATATGTTCCACTGTCCTTATCAGCCTGAGATAGTGATTGTTAACAGATTTTTGGAGTGGGGTGTGTGCATGTGTTTGGGTTGGGCCTAAGATCCCAAAAGAGCTCAGTACTGGCCTTGTCCAATGTAAACATACATTTTCCAGCAAAGAGTCATTGAATAGGAATCAGTGACTGAAAACCTGGCCAACTTTCCCCCTCCCTTAGCCTGGAGATATCCTTGTGCTCTAACACCACTCACTATGAGATCAGTACAGTTTCAACTGCAGCCTGGCTGGCCCACATGGCTGAACACCACTACAAATGACCTAATGGTGAGGCCTTGGGAAGCTTCCAATTCCTATTCAAATTTCAGACGGAAAGTGATTTGATACAGGCCAAGGAATAATTACTGTAGCCAATGTACCATGAACCCATCCCTGTTATTTTCTCAATGCGAGACGCTAGTTAATTCTTATATTACATAAATGTAATATACACAAACCGCAGATAAGGACTTGGGGGTGGGGGAAGTTGGGAAGAGACAGAGGTGGAGAAAAACAAAGGACGGAGTGTACACAACACAAACACTGTTTTTCTTGTAGAGTTACCTCCAGACGTGTAACTTTATCCTTCAGCTTGCTCTCTTCTTTCCTCATGTCAGAAATGATTTGATTGAGTTTGGCAATTTCTGCCTGCAGTTGAGCGACTTTTCTCTTCAAGGTCTCATTTTCGTCCGCGAGGTGCTTTGCGTGACCCTCAGCAGTGCTCTTTGCTTGCTCGGCTGCATCTTTTCCCTGCTTTAGTGCACTTTGGTTCTATTGGAAAAAGTTGAGTCAAAAAGCCCATCAGCCTTTAATATTCGCATGTGACTTCAGGCAAATACAAGAAGGATGAAACACATTAGTCATGAACTGTGCATTAAAGAAAGGTCACTGCTGACCTCCACCAATCGTCCAGGAGATGACAGGACCTCCCTCAGTGAAGAATTAATCCATACCCACCAAAGGGTCACAGGTTCGATCCTTGGCCTGTGCTGAATTAACTGATCTCAGATAGGGCAGAACACAAGTTGAGGCTTTAGTATATCTGAGTAAGAGAGGGGGGTTTAGTGGGGGAAGATGGGTAAACAGCAAACTAAACCTCAGCCCTGGGATGCCAAGGTGAGTGCTCTCCAGGAGGTGTATTTATGTGAAGATCAGAATTGGACCCAGCTATTAATGACACTGCTCACTCCATCTACCATCCAACACTGACTGTCTAAACTCAAAGGTGAAAAACGTCCGAATGGGAAAGGTACATAAGGAGGGAAAGATTGCAAATTACACAAAATTAAATTAAAAACAACCCGATTACTATTTGTGAATTCTACAGCCAAGTGTGAATCATTCTTATATCAGTAGATTAACAAATGTGTTGACTTATGTATTTTGCGCTATCAGTCTCCGGTCTTTAATTGGACGCATGTTGCACATATTGTTGATTTTGTCTGGTAATGATGGCACCCATCTCCTGGTTAAGCTGATAATACGCAGGAAGCATTTATTGGTGAGTCTGGGAATCGCGAGATCCAGGAGTTTCCAAGGCGGTGGATTTGGCAAAGAAGGGGTCAAATGCAAAGGCTTTGGTATGGCGAAAGGTTTCTTTCAGAAGCTGCTGCCTGAACAGCTCAAGAGTTCTAATGAGCAGTCCCTACTTGAAGGCAAAGATTCGAGTGAAATGAGAAGAAAGGTTGTTGTCACATAGTAAAAAGAATCTTTTCCATCAATGCACTGTTACTCATAAACTTAACCAGAAGGAGTTCTTACTAGGGGCAAACAGATTAATTATGCACTTCATATATATATGTATACATCTCATAATTGTATATAAAACACATACATCCGCCATGCTTTTATTATATGCTTTGTGTTGCTATTTATTTGTGAATAAAGAGGTCTGTAAACTTTTGGTTTACACAAGAATACAGGGATTGTGAACCAAAGGGTCAATTATAATAATAATCCTTGCATTTGAATTTCTATTACAATTCTCTGATATCTCAGAGAATTCAATTCAACTGAAAAATATCTGCTAGATGTTACCATGCACCATTCTCGCTTCTGATTCCATAATTAGCACTCTCCAGACGTTATCAAATGGCATATGGTCCCATCTCATATTTCAGCTTTCTGAAAGGAAGGGGAATAATCTCCTGTATGCCCATTTTTCCACAACAAGAAATCCTTTATGATGGCTTGCTATTCATCAACAACATACGTCTCTGGTGTACTGACCCTCATCAGAAACAGCAGGAAGTGGACAACCAGAAGGCTTTAGGATTTTCTTTGTAAAAAACAAAGTACTTCTGCATAACCAAAAGGGCAACCTGGAAACTGCAGGAAACAAGGGGAAAACTGATAAAGCCAGAGGAACAGTTTGATCACTTCCAGGATATCCACAGGCTTTTCTTAGGACTGTTTTGATGAAGATCTTATAATGTACACCCAATGAGACAATTTGTCTTCTCTATCATGTGATGTTCCGAGACTTAATAAAAAATAATCCTCACATGTATTAGGTGGTAGGTGTTATTTAATAGGTGGGATTAGAACCCCCCGATCATTCGATTAGATTGATTCTCGGTGTAAATAAAGTCAAAGTGGGAGAGTTAAGAAAAAGCTGCCTTTGACTCATTTTAAACAAGGCTATTCTGCAGGAGGGGCGTTACATAAATACCAGTTGTTGTCGTCGAAAGTGGAGTTTTTTTAAAAAAGAATGCAACTTATATTTACATCGCGCTTTTCACATCAGGAGGATGTCTCAAAGCACTAAAACTGGGCACCTTGACATTTGAGAATTCAACTACTCTTTAATGTTGAAATATGTAATTATATACATTTTAAATAGATGATTTGCACCATTATTTTATGCACTATTTAAAATCTGTAAAAGCAGATGCGATGTTAGTACTGCTCCCAATTGCAACAGGGCAAAATACTTGGTTGACATCTGCTCAGAACACTAGAGTCAGCAAAGCCGTTTTAAAAAGAAATGACCTGGTTCATGTTTAAAGCGCGCTGGAGAGTGTTTGAAAACTTGAGGCAGCTGAGCGGTTGATTATTAAAATTTTGGTTTCCAACAGTGTGCACTTTGGTGGTTTCTGACTGTGTGAATATGCCAACTCACAGGTGTACTGTTTGTATCAGCATGAGGGGGGGAGTGGGGGTGGTGGGGAGAAACTGGTTCTTTTCCTTCCCTTCTCCCACCCACCTTCTCCCCAATGCAATAATGCTGCAACCAATTGTACAACACCTACTGGTTCCCAATTGAGATCTACATTAAACTCAGTAAAATGTGAGGAAATGATATGTACAGAAGATAAAATAATACAGGAGGATAGTAAATCCTCCAGGATTCTACCCCGTGTGAAGGGCGATATATAAATACAAGTTGTTGTAGTTAACGTTCACACCGTGCTTAAGTTACAATTCAAAAGGCGTGGCTTATAAAAGACCATCTCTTCTCAAACTTCGATGTGTTTAAGCTTCACTTAAGATCAATATTTTTGCAACTGAACACAAGAATGTAGCTCCCGACACAATGCTGACTGGCACACAATGAAAACGCTACCGTTCACAGCAATAAAGGGAAGGTAACCACGGAGGGAGCAGCATTGAGAGCTTCCAAGATGCCTTCTGTACTTTGAAAGAAGCTCTAGTCTTTGGGAGTTAGATGGTGTTTAGAGATTGTGCTCATCTGTTTATTTAGAATATCTTGAAGATCTCAAATCTGCCTTGTGCACATTCCTTTTCAGCTGCCTGACAACACAGCACTTTTTCCAACAGCTCTGGTTTGGAAGAAGGCAAAGATTTCAAGACAAAACATTTCCGGCTTCACAATAATGTGCAATACGGGATTGGCTGTCACACACAGCCAGTGAAGGTAACCATTGCAAGTGATTTAAAAAAAAACATTTTACATTTTTAACACAACATTTTGTTTAAGACCTTTTTTTTTAAATGTAGCGCAAAAGGAGAATTTTAGTTCTTTGGAAACGTATTCTCGATGTGTGCTTACACAAGGGATCCAATATAATTCAGGCGTTACTAATCTGCACTGCAATTTAGTTTATTCCCTTTATAATACACTTCTTCCCTAAAGCAGCTAATTTGTCAGATGGTATTAAATTAATGATGCATGTACAGTGGCAAACAAAATAGTTAAAGGAAGAGCTCTAATCTGCATAAACTATTTCCAACAGATGGATTGAGATTCTTTTTATTGGGGGGAGGGAGAGGGGGGAGAAGAGTGGGAGTATGTTTAAAGCCTAGATCCAGAGGTCTGACAATTTTACTCCATACTCAAGACTGAAGTAATATCTTTGCACGATTAATTCCAACCTGTTAAAATTCAGCACTGCCCTACATCAAGAACCGAGGTTTACAGCTTCAGTATAATAAACACATTTCACAGGGATGACTTCCTATTGAGGAATGCAGAAGTGCATGTTACATTCCCACTGCCCATAGCCCACACACTATCTCCTGCTAGCTTTACTCCCCCATCTACGTTCTGGAATTCTGTATAACGCAGGCCTCCCCGAAGAAGCAACTGGCAAAGACAACGCTTTGATATTCCAATCAAATACTGGAGACTGTATCTGGCCCGTGACAGCGAGCTAGGATGCGTTCTTTTGAAGAGAGTGCAAGAACTGTCCAAGTGAGTTACAATGATCTTTTGTACATGTGAAAGAATGCCTGGAACGCCCCTTCATCAGCAAGATATTTGGTTTACTCTACGGGCACGTAGCTGGCAGACGCTCAAGTAGTGTCTTTTAATTCTGAGGCAGGGTGAGTTTCTCCTTACTACCAAGTGTCAGGTTCACATGTGAACCGTTTTCGGTTTCAACAGTCAAAATCCTGGCCTGTGAATATTTTTTAAACGACTCATACTCCAGCTTGCATCAGGTTTCAAGCAAAGGTCATCGTAGTTTGCTAAAAATTTCCCTCCACTCCCCCCACCTCATGTATATCAGTTCAGTGAATATTCCTGAGAAAATCAATAGGGCTTTTTTTTATTCATCTAAAATGTGTTTTCAAATACTGTATGTCTAAGTGTTGTTCATTTAAACAACTGATCTGAAATGGTTAAGCATCAAGTAATAAATACTAGTGTTGCAACTATTTATAAGGAACATTTTAATAATCTATAATAATAATCCTTGCATTTGATGTATCACATCGTTGCGACGTCTCAATGCGCTTCACAGGATCTTACTATGAAGTATGTTGTAGGTGAATGTGGCAGTCCAATTTGCGCACACACACGTCCCACAGAGAATTATGAAGTGAGTGAGTGACCGTCTTTTTTAAAATGGGGGGATTATTGGCCAGGACATTGGAAGGAACTTCCTTGCAAATTTATGGGATTTTTCAACATAAGCTTGGTAATACAGCGTAAATAAGAGAAAATAAATCTCATCAGCTAAGAAAGATTGTATTTTGATTTCTGTTTTGTTATTTTCCCCTCCCTGTAGAGACTTTGATGTTTAGCTGTGCACACACACAGCTGGGAGTCAATCTGTTGATCGCGGAGACGAATAACTCCACAAGAAATCCTGAAAATTCTTATCGGATCGCTCTAGGATACAACGGAGACGGGAACATTCTGTACCGTTCCGGCATGTAGAAATAAAGATAAATTTCTATCTAAACAGCCTCCTTGCCACAGAAAATAAACCCAGTGGCTGAAAAGGTTGAAACTCAAAAGCATATTAGAATGTTCTGACTGACAATTGGAAAAAAGGGACACACCCCTCGAGAATCCAAAATAAATT